ACATTATTTTGCCTGCTAAAATTTTTGACCCGCAAAACCCGGCCAAGTCTGGCCCATAACCCGGCCAAAAGCCCACAGGCTCTTGCGTGTCAGAAATTGGCGGGTTGGTGAGCTGAAAAGTTGCGTCTCTTGTATGTGACCACCCGCGGGACCGGCCGTGCTTGGTCCGTACCTGCCTACATTCCGCCGTGCCCGGCTTGCACCTGTCTGCAGGACAGGCTGAGATCAGTGTGTGGGCAGACCGTGCTCAGTCTGTGTCTGCGTGGGGACCGACAGTGCTCGATCTCTACCCGTCTTCCTCGTCATCACGAGTGTGGAGTCGAGTATCTTCCCTCTTGAGACGTTAGTGTGCGTTGCTACGTTTAACACCAAAGTGGCATCTGGGTACAATAGATAGATTTCAGACAGTTAAACCGGGGTTCAGAGTACATTTTGTATCTGTGATACCGTTGTTTGTAGCCGGTACAACACAAGCTGAACAGCTGATGGATTCCTGTGCGTTTCGTAAGTGTGGCAGTGCGCTCCAATAACTACATGTAATCCATCGCGGGGCATAGTTTGCTTGGCCACTACCGCTCAAAACCACGATCATGTGGACCCACAGACTGTCATGCGTGCGAAGCCTCATGGCACCACGCGCGATCGTGTGAGCCTGGTTCACGGCTGGCTGCGTTTTGGCGTCGGGCATCACCTGTTCAGTCCTCCGTGGCAGCATTTGAGGCTCGTAACAGAAGATGGCCTTTCTTGTTTAATATAGCTCCCCATAATACTGTGCTACAAACCTCGCAAAAAAAACATCGGCGCTCAGCGTAGGATGTCAGGCGGCTCCCACATAGGCGGTGGCAAGGGGGAGGGGAGCTGTAAATTTTTGGTTGCTTCTTTTCAGTTAACGCGCCTATCGGGCGAATGCAAAGTTCAAAGAAATTTGGGGCGCTCATCCACCCTACCTAATGCCCGCGCCCCAGGCGTAAGCGTATCCACTTGCACGCGCATCGCATTTTAACGGCTTTGTGGAATATAAACTAACAAAGCACATGGTCATGCTTACTATATAATTCTACCTGAAAGATTCGTGGATGTATGTACGCGCTGGAAAAAGGCTACTTGTTTCTGGCACGAAGGGAGACGATGTTCACGCTGAAATACCTCCAACAACATTTCAGCTCATCTCCAGCAGCTCACGCGTCTTGCAATCCACACACCATCATGCTTTAAATTAAACTCAACGCATTCAGCTATCTGATGACAGGTACCTAGGGTCAAAAGTTTGTCAATCATCTGTACGAAGATTTTCGATGCTCCAGCTGCCCGCAGCGTGACGCCCCACGGCTAGCGGTCGTACTGCGCTAAAGTTTCGGCACCAGTAACGTCATCGCCCTTTTAAATGCGGGTGAAAACCCGTCTTATGGCAAAGCCCATGTACGGCAGCCCCAACGGTAGCTTTCTCCTAGCTATTGAAATGAAACCCGCTTGATAAGGATTTGATTTTGTTTCCCAAAACTGACATGCGTTTACTTTTCTATGCGCGTTTTTAGTACCAAAAATATTACGCAGCCAAACTTATTGTAACTTTTTACTTTGTTTTTGGCCGCAGCGCAACGGATTTAGGCACTCCCATGATCAAAACACCACTGTTTCATAATGCCTCCCTGTGGGACTTTTGCTAAGTACTTCAAAATTATGCAGGCATTACATCATAGATAAAACAGTGCCAGTAAAATAACACTAGAAGAGTTACGGCATATTCTCCGATCCGTGTGGGACCTTTTTTCAACCAGTTTTCTTTTTTGACGGCATTCATGTGACGTTCTTTTCCAGGAGCTTTCGCTTTGCGCTGATAGGCAGAAAGGGAAAGCATCATTCAGTTGTTTCCCATTCAAATCACTCATCAATATTTTCATGGCCTCAATAACGTGCTGTGATTTAGAGTTAAGCAAGACAGCAGGGGTATTGGCAGCGGAGTAATGGTGAAATATTTATTACACTATTGTATCATGCTCACTGCAGAGATTTTCCACCATTTTTCCACCTAGATTTTGCCAGTCATCCCCTGAGCTGCACGTTCAGAGGCCATTGGCCGGGTCGTCTAAGCTCTTGGCTATTTCTGAAACCCATGAGGAAATTTTAAGTTAAGTTACACTGACACTGCACGATTCGGGTTTCTGTGAAAATTGATATAGTCATCAAGGGCAGCCCAGCCTGCTGAGCCCACAATCACGCCCGCGAAATTCCTGTGTTTTCTGTGGGTGGTCTGTGTTTGCCCAGGTGTCCGGAGGAGCCGGTGTATGTGTTCAACTGTGTTCCGGCTTCGACGTCGATTGTGTTCCCCTGTCGATCAATCGGCTTCAATGTCGTCGGGCGTCGATCACTGACAAAAGAACTGTCCATGGCACGTCATTAGGATTCCATCGGGCTGGTATCGGACGATCCATCGTGACTATTTCTGGGGCCTGTCTCGACTTGGCTCTCTGCTCTCCTCCCCTCTCATTATGTTTTCTTAAGCTCTGCCTTTGGCTGGGTGCTGCTTTCCACCTACTTTTTGTTACGAGTGCGACAAAATTGAGTGCCGTTCTTCTGCTGCTCCGCTAGTCAAGTTGGTGATGCTTGGAACGGGCACTGTAGTCATATTAGCCAGATAATATATTAGCTAATAATATATTACCCAAGCTGCATTTTGTCACTATTTCTATATGTTCAAGATAAAGGGATGCACAACAACGGTTCCTGCTCCTGATTTTGCAAATCAGCAAGGCTTTGGCTTTGGAATCATAACTGTTTCCTGTTTATTTTTCCCAGACCGTCCGAAATACTAGCTGTCTCGGAAATCGCGCTTACCGACCACATATCACACTTACCGCACATATTTTTGTGGTAACTTTGTACGAATCTTGCATTGTCCAGCCAGCAATGCGAGGGATTTTTTTGGTAATCGTAAGTAATGAGTCTGTACGTGCACAAAAGACTACCGATGATATTTGACACAATGGGCAAAGAGGTCACCAGACTTTTACCAATTAGTACACCGATTTCACTGTAATCACCTTTTTTTCTCACACAATCTGAGTAGCGCGTCCGAATGGCAAGCCAACCCCACGTGAGCTCCTTACCAAGATTTTGGGCGCCTCTGGAAGGGCTGAACGACACGCAGAGTCTCCAAAGCTCTATGACTGGTGGACTGCCCCGTCCCACACGCTATTGGACTATCCGGCTAGCCATCCTGGCTGGCGGACTGCACGCTGGTACTGGGTATCAATGGGCTAAGTAGGTTTTCTTCTTGAAACGTATGTGTGTCCCATCAAGACAACCACACAACCTGGGGCAAAATAATCCACGAAGAAAGGACACAGTCCGTGAAATGCGAAGGACATAATGTCTGCGCCAATTGACGCACTGGATCGCCCATATCAGATATTTTTGGTCGACAGAATCGCCACTCCCCCTCCACCCTCCCGTTGGATCGTTGGAAAAAAGCCGGTCATGGTGTCACTGTATAGACGACGTGAATGCTCATAATGATGTGTCACACATGCGTCTGTTGTGTGTCTCTCTCTAAATTTTGACGACAGACTCCGTTTGAGACACGTTTATTATGACTTTGGCATGCAACATATCCTGGTGAGGCGGCAGCGACAACAGGGCTGCCTTCGCCAGCCACCACCGAACGTCGACCGAACGTACAGTCGCATCTCGTGCTAGGTGGGATTAACATGGCTCAGGGGTACAGACGGCCTCCAAGCCCGGACACCAAATGTTAACATTTGGCAACACAGTCACACACCGATAATAACGTACTACCAGCATAAAGCACACTTCTAAATAGTTTAAATACACTTCAGTTGATAACTGCTCCAGCAAGGTTACCCCTAAGTGGTGGTTCGTTAGAGTTGAAGGGTTTTGGAAAATATGACCGTTATGAGATCGTCAAAGAGGGATCACTTATTGCCCACGTCATCAATTATCTGTACAACACCGGCAACTACGGGGGAGGGGAAAGCAACGCACACGCATGCGTCAAGTGCGCAATGGACACATGACACATGATAACAGCGATTTTTGAAACTTGGATGCAAATGAGCATAATGACTGCATACCTGCAAATGACTCCGAGTACGGCTGTGGCAATAAAATCTCTGAATTTCGAGCGTACGCCATGCGTAGCCCGAATGCGCAAGACAACGCCACGAAGGTTCCAAGTCATACAGCTAGGACAAAGACGGGCAGGGCATGCTAAAACGCACACGACCGGGACATTCCATTTCCCGCTGGCCGCCGTCCCGAGCGACGCCAGCGTCTCAGTAGGAACGATCCGACCATCATCTGAGGTACAACTTTGTACACAAACACGCGTAAACAGTATCCAGCGTACTGTGAGTACGAGACCCCAGGAACGTTGACAAAATGCGTCACAGAAGCCCTGCACGACCTTGCTCTGACACTGCAACGATTCTACCTATTCTCCCCTCACATGCATGCACGTTGGGTCTCCGCAAAAAGCAACGGCTGGGCCCGGAAAGTGCATGACGTTTGTCGGGAACAGGCCATTTCTATTCTTGGAAATATTGTCTCCCTGAGTTATGCAAGTGAAGACCAGGGGACGACAGGAGCGACATGACATTGGCCAGTACATCATAGGTTCAGCCGGTAAGTTCATCTTCAGACACAGGCCAGCTTTTGTTCTCGCACGAACATTGCACTAGTCATCCACTCCAAGCGGCCAGTAAGAATACAGCAGCAGCCGCCTTCCTGTCAACAAGTTAACCAGCCAGCAGGCTCAAATCGAAGAACGCCGCGTACGGGAGCAACAGGACATCGGAGCACGGCGTCAGCAGTCGCCGCGCGTGCTCGACGAGCACACCCCTTCCCCTGCCCCGACCGGCCCTCATGAGATCGGACTGCTGTGTGTCGCGACGGTCGCCAACGATCTCCGGCACGACCTCGTCCTAGCGGCGACACAGCCAAGTAATACTTGTTTGAAAAGCTCGAGGTGGCAGCAGCGTCGCCTATAGCCGGGCGGCGCTAGGCTGAGCGAAGAGAACTCCCTGGTAAACCACGCCGTTCAGCTCCATGCTCAGCACCAAACTTCCGTCGCCTGTGGCAAATGGAAGACAAAGGGGTAAGCGATGGTGTGTGTGCGCATTTCAAATCATGGAATCGTGGGATGGCTGAGATACACATGGCTTCCTGCACCTGACGAATATCCCCATCGCGTGATATGCATATTGCGATGTAAATTAAGCTACGAATGCGTCATATGCCCTGGACGCTGCCCCAGTGCCGGGTTGGACCCTTCTCCAGTACCGGGCTGGGTGCTGCTCCAGTACCGGAATGGACACAGCTCCAGTACCGGCCTACCGCATACGTGAGCACATTCTTCCAACGCCTGTCAACATCTAGAGTCGGGAGACGAACCCAGTGAGCCTAGCATACCAACCGGAAGGAAAATGGCGGATGGCATAATATAGCACGCGCTCGGGCGGGAGTGAAATGGACCCCCCAAAGGTTTTTCCAGAATGGTTTCCGAACGGCGCGGCGTAGCCACGCCAAATTTTGCATAGCTGTGGACAATTGAATAGCGGATCGCTTGGCATCAACAATTTAGATGTACCTTGTGAGGTCGCTGACCTATAGCAGGTCAAAATCAGGCCATGGTTTCAGCGAAGGCAATTTCCGAGGAATCCTTCAATCTGATACAACAACGGAGTGTTAGACGAAACCATACATCTCTGAGATGCTTTCTTAAGCAACACAACAGTTGAATGATAAAAATACATTGACCTCAGGTCAGGTATGAAGGTCACACCAGAGTCAAAACCAACCTATTTTGTTGCTCTAGGGCTTGCTGTATGGGATAGTCTCTGGTGCTCACTTCGAATTTATTGATAGCAGGAACCGCATTATACATCGTCCATGGACTTCTTAGATGTCAGAATAGGTCATTAACCTAAAACGACCCAGGTCAACATTTTGTTTTCGGAACATACTGCCTAGCGTAATCTCTGTCGCTTAGGCAGATGCAAAACACGAGCAATCTTGCATGCTTTTGGTCACCTTGACCTTCGGAGGGTCAAACAAGGTCACTGACCTTAAATGAGCATGTTATATTTTGCTTAGAAACGGTTATCTAGGTTCTGAGGGTATTTTGGAGACCAAGTTGGAACTTGACCTTGTTTGACCTTTTTTGACCACAGGGTCATGACATAGGAACCTGAAGCTTTGACCTGAGTGAGTTTACAAACAGTAAATTTACAGTAAAAAAACAGTAAATTTGGCGTCTCTAGCTCTCTTAGTTCCCAAGATCTTAGGGGGGTCAAATTGACCCCCTACCAGAGCGAAGGGTATCTAGCCGGCCACCCGGGCGCGTGATAACCATGAAACTGAGCACAAATTAGGAGGAGACCGAGAAAACTTTTTGAGATTTACATTAGCTACCCGGCGCCTAAGTTCTCCATTTTACTATTCTGTCCTGAGAAAATAGAATATCTAAAAAAGGTAAAGCGAAGAAATATCTGCCCGTGACTTGTGAGCTGGCGGAGCCTCGCCACAGGTGGGGATAAATATCCGAACAGGTACTTTACAAGTAACGACACTATCCAATTGGGTGCACTGAACATCCCAATACAGTGCCATGCAATTCGAGGTGGATTAACTCCCCAATTCATCTACTAAGAGCTCTAAGATTTTCGTGGTCAAGGTTAAGATGCGTGGAAAACAGCGGCTAGTTCTGGCGCTCACCATCACACGGCACACATATCTGAGCGGTGGGTGTACAAGGTCTGCTTTAAGGATGCGACACATGCATTATGGCCCGAGTGACTGCCGGCAGGTGGTGAAGTGTATTCGCTGATCATTGCAATGATCGAACTCCTGCTGCTTTGGGACTCACCCTTGGACGATATGCTCATTTTTGTGTGAGGCAGCGCGTTCATCTTGTGCTCTTCGTCATCCGACCGGGCCCTTTTATTGGGTGGCGGCGACAGGTCGTCAGGCACCTCTCGCGTCATCTCCTGCTCCCTCTCGCGCTCGCGTTCTCTCTCGATCTCCCTTTCGCGCTCGCGGTGCAGCTCCAGCTCGCGGTCTCTCTCTCGCTCCTGTTGCTCGCGCTCCCTTTCCTGCCTGAAAGCCGAACGGATTGGTGACAGCTGTTCTGCACAATTTGACTGCATGCATATTGAGCGGGTTGTCTAACCCACCTTTGATTACCCGTTCGCGTGTTAAACGGCTACGAACACAGTGTCGTAGCCAAGGGGGGCTTTTGCGGTAATGCCCCCCCCCCCTCGCCTTTTGGCAGGTGCCCCCTCACCCTTCAGGTCGAAAACCCCAGTACTTTTTGGCGGTTTAGGACTCCCGTAAGGCAACAAAACATAATAAACGGGTTCTCATGGCATCAAAATGGAATTCTGAACCTAAAACTTGCTCCGGATAGAAGCAAACAGTTGCTTTAACGACAAAGTGAGGCCCCAGGGGCGAAATGCCCTTGTACTGTTTTGGCTCCTCCTGGCGTAAATCACCAATGTACATGGCGTTACAGCAGTTCAGCAATTCATTACGGTCATTGGCCCTGTGTTGCTATGAGTTGCATACGTGTGTTAAGTAAGCAATTGTGCACACGCGATGCCAGAACACACCGGCAACTAACAAAAGATGTTTATCTGGACACCGGCACCTGACAAAAGACGCTCAGCTGAACTTCGGCAAGCCCTGAGCGCCCGCTGCTCGCAAAGTTGCAACATATGCCCCGCAGACCGCGCGGTCTCACAAGCAGAACACTGTTTCTCAGGCAAAGACGATGACAGGTCGAGGTGGTTTTTCTGAGCGCTGCTCACCTCGCCATGATTTCGCGTCGGACGCCGAGGTTGAGGGCCTCGCTCTGCGGAGCCAGGCCCATGCACTCGGGCTTGCGGTGTGGCGGCGAGGGGATCGGCTGTCTGTTGCTGTACAGGTTCCACAGCGTCATCAGCGTGTCGTTGGCGGACGGCAGCACGGGGCCGCCCATGCCCGGCAGAAACGGAGAGCCTGTGGACGACACGTGTGGCTCACCCTCAGAGCAAGCTGGAAACGGCGTGATCAACCAGAGCGATGGGAGGGCCCCCGAAACGCAGGAGAGGAGCGAAACCCCGATAACTCAATTTTTCCCGCGCATCGCCAAAGCTCTCGGCAAGCTTGTACGAAAATTGAGAACGGCCACTGTCCACCCGATGCTGCAACACCCACGCAACCAAGAACCAACCACTGCCGTCCTGCGACAGTTCTGCGACGAGTGATGTTTTCGGTGAGGTGAGCCCGCTGTCCGAGTTGCGGCTCGATGTGGCCGCGTGCAGCGCCGGCGCCGGCGGCCTTGATCGGGCGCCGGCGGGCGGTGTAGCGGCGCCGGCGCCGCTCGACCGATTGATCATCACTCTCCCCCCCTCTCCACGTCCACGCCCGAACGGCGTCATCAATCGTATGCAAATACAAATTTCATTACTTTATCATCGTTAACCGGCGGTGCGGGCAGTCGGTCATTACTGCTGCCGGCCGGCGCGTCCCGGCCGGGCGGCGGAGGCGGCGGAGGCGGGGGCGGGCGGCGAGAGGCGGGCGGACGGGCGGGCAGCGGGGCCGGGCGGGGCCGGGCGCGTCCTGGCCCGGCTGGGCGGCAGGGCCAGGGCGAGGGAGGGCGGCGGCGGCGGCTCGCTGCCGTCGGCCGCAGTGACCTGCACCAAGCCCCGGAGTGGTGCCCGCCACCTCTGACGTCGCCACGGTCGGCCGTGGCGGCCGGGCGGCCCACATGGTGCACAGGCCGAGCTCGGGCGCCGAACGCCCGTCCCTGGACTGTCGAGTCTGGCTGAGGCACTGTTCAGTCATGCGAGGAGTTGGCTGTAGCTGCCGCTTGATGTAAGCGAAAAAACCGCGTGCAGTATACCCTTCTGAGATGGAAGTGACGTGCAAGTGCAGAACTCAAACCATGACCTGAGGACTTCCCTAAGTATCTCTTCCATCGATCCCTCACCCCCCCGCCCCCCGTAATCAACGAATAGTCCCCCTGTCATGCCATCAAGGGGCCAGCAGCTTCTCACAGGGCACCGGCCGTGAGGCCGCCACAACGCCCGCGCGCAGCGCCGATGTCTTTAAAATAGTCGTTTAATTATTCTGTTTGTGCCCGAGGTTGTGGCCAGATGTCGGATCGGCCGATTGATTCGATAATGGCCGATTACCGCGCCGCGGGCCCGACATAATGCCGCTCATTTACCAGGCTCCGCCGAGACCGCGCCGCCGGCACCAATAATGAATACTCGATGATGATGTTGACATGATAGCGCTACGGACGGCCCCCGGGATGGAGGCGATAGGCGAAATGCGAAAGTGCTTCGGAAGATTGGAGCGAGATTGAGGCATTAAGAGGATTAAAACAGAAACGTCACGCGAAAAACAGCTCGATGGCGAACCATCCCGCTCTGCTGCCTAGATTCACCGGTCAATTTACTGGAGCTACAGTGAGTGGTAACATGTAAACCTTTTCAGTGACCGCTCCGTGTCAACTCTCCGTGTGCGCGCAGCGCGGGGAAGTTCACTAACCCTCCAGAGACTTGCGTCTCGCAGGACCCGTGACTCACATGCCCCGTGACATGTCGACGGACGGAGCCAGCCTCGGGTGGAAGGTCACGTGACCCCGCCCGGACAGCGCCAAATGTGCCGGATCCGCGCAATTATGCAGATCAGCTCAGGGTATTATGCCCAACGGACCGGCGTCTGGTATAGGAGCCGATCGGCGGCCGGGCCGGCAAAATAAACGAGATCCCTCTGTTTTGTCCTCGGCCTCTTTACGTGCTTGGCCCGGGGCTCGGAGTAATTCAACCTCATCTTGGCACCCACAACGGCCGCCGCCGGTGATTACCATTCGCCTGCGCGCCGCTGAATATTCAAGGCCGACCAGCGATTGACAAACAGCGAACATGTGGCGTACGCGAGTATCCGCCAATTTGGGCGGGTGGCCGCCGCCGACCGATCGCTGATTGAGCGAGGGATGTGTGCAGACCCGGAGCGGCGGCGCCCGCGGCACCGCTCCGACAGCACGGGCCCGGGGCGGTGCCCACTCCCAGTCCCTTCCAGACTCTTGGAAATAAAGGCCGGCTGACCTTCGCAATCATCACCCGCCAGCTGTCTAAAGTTCAGGTGATAGGGTGGCGTTTATGACCGACTTCCCCGACGCCGGGACGCACAGCGGCTCCCCCACGCGATAGCGTGACGTCACTGCCCGGGCCATCCCACAGGCCGGGTGAGGTCTTTCTGTGCGGAGCAGTGCTGTGCTCTCCTCGCTGGGCAGCCGCGGAGGAGCCAGCGGCCTGGCTGATGCAGTGGTGCTGTACTCACTAGGCGGCAGCGGGTGGCCTCCGGCGCCGTTGGTGCCGGGCCGACTGGTGACCAGCGACAGAGGAGACAGGCCCTGCTGATGCAGCGTGGTCGGCATGCCGTTGGACAAGCCGAACGACTGCGCCATCGAGCTGGAAGAGCGGAGCAGCTTGTAACACATCCGTATGATTCAACAGTAAGGTAAAGAAGAGCTGGGGAACGCTGCAGACCTGCCATCAGAGCAACAGGCAAATGTCATCGATCTTTCCCAGGAATGAAAGAATGTTTGATAAGCACAACAACGTCAGAGCCCGCACACAGTAACTGTGGACTGCGGAGCAATGCCAAGCTGAACTCTACTCCACCGCTGTCACTTCTGCGAACGTCAAGTGTGCAATGGACAATTATCTTCATGACTAATTAGCTCACTCAAAACAAACCACATGTCAGTAATTAGTCGGCAACGGCCTCTTCGCACGCTCATGGAAATCGTAGGTGCGTGCAGTACCAGAGCGGTTTGCCCGGGGGCCCGCTACACGCCTACTAGCTTACAGCGCGCCCACTCGTCTGACAGGGGCGGCTCCAGGAATCATTTATGGAGGCACGCAATCAAAATAAACGTGCCATGCCCCTTGCATCAACGCACCATGCCCTGATCATCACAATGCCCGTTGCACAAAAGCCGTTTCACAGCCCCCGTCTCCGACACTGCCTGGAGACGGGCCTGCGCCACCGGCCGTCAACGCACTACTGACCCCGATAGCAGTGGCGACCTCTGCACGAAGTCGGCGTACGAGTTGCTGTTGTAGGTGCTGCGGCGGCCCTCGCGCCGGTTCCCGTCCACGGCTGCCTGCAGCTCAGACGGACTGCTGAGACCTTCCTTCTGACACTCCTGCGGGTACAGGTACTTCATGTACCTGTGAAACAGGCGCCAGCGGTCAGAGGTCGGCGGAGACGCCAGCGGGTTGTCGCTTTTCTGCTTTCAGGGAGTGAGAGCCGTCTGAAAGTGTGGTGAGGAAGCCCTAGTTTAAGATGTATGTAGGTTCGCAGACAGAAAGGTCAAGTACAGCCGCCAAAGTGTCATCTGTTGAAAAATTACCAACAAATGCAAAAATGGCCGGAGGTGTTCATAAAAGATGACACATTTTTGCTCATTCCGTCTTGCACAGAGTTTGAGTGTCTTTCATGACGCGCGTGGAATCCATTTACACGTCATCGCGTCTTGACACCTCAGTATTGTGCTGTTTGATGCGGCACACGTTCATGGCGGTCGCGGCGAGTCATCATTACGCCTGAGGCGTCGCCGCGGGCGATCCCCGCCCGTGACGCGATCGCTGACTAACACGCGATTGGTTCACGCCTCCCGCCCCGGGCACGGGTGCGAGCGTCCACCACGCGCGGTATGGAGAGCTCTCCTCACGGGACCGGGAATCGCGAGCCAGGGGGGCGCTCTGGGTTCTCTCGCGGGCGGCGAGCTCGCGAGGGGCCGACATCACGTCCCTCTGGGGCGGGGCTACTTGCAAAACGCCTGCAATGATGCATGATCTACAGATGGGACTGGTGAGCAAACCATGGGCAAGCTCGCAAATCAGACCAGGCGCACTTGCAGCCAAATGATCGGGCTGGCTGACCCACGCCTTCGGAAGCCAGCTGATCCCGGCGTAACCGACAAAACCTCAGGCCAACAGAACAGCTTAGTCCCTAGCGATGCCGGTCAGGTCACCAGTGCGTTCAGAAAGCAGCTCCATTCGAAAACTCCCGACGTTCCAGCGCCGTGACGGCCGCCACCGCCGCGAGCCAGCTGCCGCCAGCTCCGGGCGCGAAACCCAGTATTGCACGCGCCTGCACGTGATGCAGAACAAAGGCCCGCATTGCGGCATCAGCGGTGGCCGTAAATCGCGGGCTGAGTGCCGGGGACGCGGCGTGCAGCGGCGCGGCGCGTGCGCGCGCGGCGAGCGTGGCGCGGCGGCCGATATCAGAGCGCGATCTGCCGCGCGGCCGGCGGCGGGGTCACACCGTCCTCGATCGGGCCGCGCTCGGCGAACGGCCGCCTCATGTGGCCGTCGGGCGGCCGCGGGCGCGCCCCGGGGCGTCGGGCGATCACGTGTGGCCGGGGCACGGCGTCGGCCGCCGCCCGCCGGCGCGTATCACCGGTTACTACCACTTGCCGTGACTGGGCCGCGTTAGCCGGCCCGTTTTATTGATATGAATCCGGGAATTGGGCGCCGCGGCCGCGTCGGGCCGGCACAGCGGCGCCATTGCGGCCCGGGAAATCGCGCCGACCGCCGAGAGACTGCCGCCGCGACGACTGAACGTCCGGCGACCGCCATAATTGGCCGCGATTGCGTACGACGCGATTTTACGATGCGCGATTAGACGGCCGCTGAGGACAAGCCGCTACTACCGCCGCCGCACAGGTTTCTTCCCTCTTGCGGCGGAGTCGCAGAGGGACTGGCTGCGCGTATGTGTGGGTGGGTCATACAAAGCCTCAGCTCCTGGAAATGGGTGGGGCAGGCCTCGGTAGAATAATGACCCGTCTTAACAGAGAAAATTGCACCTCTTGCACTGGCGAAGAAGCGGGTTTCGTGATGTTTATATATATATATATATATATATATATATATATATATATATATATGTATGTATGTATGTATGTATGTATGTATGTATGTATGTATGTATGTATGTATGTATGTATGTATGTATGTATGTATGTATGTATGTATGTATGTATATCGCTGGGACAAAACACATCTTGTGGTACAGATTTGCGTACTGTCGTTACGGCGTACCTTACCGTCAAATATTAGCATGCTTTGGAAAGCGACTTTTGTTCTCCCTTTATATAAACGCGCATGGTGAGTCTGACTTAAAGTATTTCACACTTAGCATCTGAAGCACACCGGCACAACAGAGCAAGGTTTTAAACCAGACATGGTGATTGAAGACTGGTTTTGCAATGTTACGTACCGTCATCTCGCCCACATTTATGGTTACGTAAACGTTCGAAAGGGCTGCCCGAGTGGAAGGTTATGTTCTGTCTAAACAGAAAGCTTTTGAAACCACCGCAATCGCAATGTTGCTCGTGCCGATAGCATGGATCACGGTTAGAAACTGCCTCAGCTCTGAGCCCCAAGGACGATTATATTGGCCCTAACCAACCACGCCAGGCTCGGTTCTGTTCGAGATTGTGTTAATGGTGTACGGCTCTTTCCCCGGCCGAGGCCATTTCGACCAAGACATTTCTCAGTCTGGCATTACCTGATATTAAGATGCTAATGCCGCTGTAATTACCGACTTCAGTGATATTCCCCGGGGGATCGCGGTGCCTTTATGGCCATCCCGCCTCCCGGAAGGCGGCCCCTCACGAACAAAGCGTGGGCGTGACCGTAGCTGGACGCCACGCCGGGCAGGCCGGCGGGCCCGCAGCGCGCGCCAGCCCCGCCCGGAGGAGCAGGTCCTGCCGGAGCGCGACGGCGGCGGCGGCGGCGGCGGCGGCGGCGGCGGCGGCGGCGGCGGTCCGGCGCCGGTGTCCGGGCGACAGGCGATACACGGCCGGGGGTCAGCATCGCGCCTCACCCGTAACCGGGGCCGACCACGGTAACCCGCCGCGGCCGCCGCCGCCGCCGCCGCCGCCGCCGCCGCCGCCGCCGTCGTACGGACACCCGCGCCGGTGTCTGGGCGGCACACGGCCGTTACCAGGGCCGACCACGGCAACCGGCCGCTGCCGCCAGCCTCATGTCGATCTGCTCTCCATTGAGAGCGAAGCGTGTGGGGCCAATTAACCTTTCAACTTGACCAGGGCGGCATAACGCCGCTAAATCATCCCCTCTCGTTACCTGCAATCGATAGTTCAATTCAATTACGGCCCGGCGTAATAAGCGCCGAGATGACGGCCCATACATCGCGATGCATTAGCCAGCGGCGCGGGGACGGGATCGGGATTGGCCGATCACTGATGAGCTGATCGCGCACCGTCGGCGGCGTGGCGTGACGAACGTGCCATTGGGAATGTGAGAGAGTGCCAATTGAGTCCATTTCGGACGGTACGTAACGAGCCGTGAGGCGGGATTGCGGGTCGCTTTCTTTCCGAGTACTCCTCGCTGTGGTCAGGTCACGGCCGCGGCTGTTTAATATTGTTCTTGGAAAATCTGTTTTCACCATCATGGCAAGTCTTTCGTTTGCAGCCATGGCAAAACGCCGACGTCTTCCCACAAATATCGTCACATCCGCTTTAATTGGGATCGTAGAGCTTGCTGAAATCCGTCATTTTCACATTTGCTTGCTGCTGCCAGGTAATTCATCGACGCATGGGGTCATTAGCGAGGCCCCCAGGCAAAAGCCAGGGGACAAAGACAGTTTCCTATCCTGGGACCTGGAAGTTTTGTCTACAAGGAGCCTTATCTAATCTAATCGGATCCATATCTGATCTAATCGGAGCCCTCTCTTAAAGGGAGCTATGTGGCCCTTTTGCGCTTGCTAGCTTTGTTTTGCACATTAACATGAAATGCCTCCCAAATAAATATATTCACGAGCCCTAAGTTCGTAATTACCTTTCAGAAACGCCACTTGCTATGTAAAAAAGATGAATATTGCCGCCCACCAATAAGATTTCGGTGATTTAATGCTTCTACCGATACTCACTGTGTACGCAGGGTGAAGGCTGCAGACGTGATGGAGGAGGGCAGCTTCAAGCCCTTAATAATCTCCTGCCACAGCTTCTTGTTGATGACCTCCACCAGCCCACCACGGGCTACCACCAGGTTGTACAGCTCGTAGAGGTCCAGCACCTGCTTCGCCATTATCGGTAGACGGTTTATCGGAGTTCCTGAAATCAGAATGTGCCTGAATCCCAGACGAATGCCTTCAGCGATCATGCTTCCATTTTGCCCCAAATACGTGGCGCCTGTTCGACACAGCACGAGCGGCAATAAAACAACAAAACTTTAGCTTTCTATTACCAGAGCTGTCACCCCTTGACCCCACAAACCATCTCCCTGAATGTCCGATTCACCCAGACGAATGAGCCACCAAACGCTACGCGTGTTTTGGTGACGCTCAATGCCCGCCCGGCCGCGGAGAACAAGATGCCGCGGCGATACGGCGCGCCGCGCGACCGGGCCCTTTGTGTCGCGCGCCGCCGCGCCGCGCCGGCGCCTGAAAAACGGCCGCTGAAAGGGCGTGGGCGGTCGGGCCCGCGCCCGGCCGCCGGTCAGCCCGGTCGATCGCTTTTTGTTGACATTGTTGGCATGGCGCGCTCGATTCGGCCGCGATACCGGCGCCGCGGCGGATTCCGCGCAAGGCTGACTGACCGAGTCTCGGCGGCGGCGAACCCCCGCCTGCAGCGGACGGCGACGCGGCGCGCCCTGTCCAGCTGCTGTTGACATAACTCAGGCGGCGCCCGCGTGAGACCGCCGCAAAAACGGCGCCGTCTAATCCCCGGCGATCGGCGCTGCGCGGCCGCCATGTGAAATATTGTCCCATCGGCGGGCCAGATTACGGCCAAGTACACGGGCCCGGTTTGATATTCAAAGAAGGGGCCGGCGGCACACTGGGGTCGCCATTGTCTTCTGACACAAAAATATCTGCCTCGTTTGTCATTTGAAATAAAGGAGCCAGCTGTTGGCGCCGGGACGACGGCGCGCCGACCGGGGCGGAGGGGCGTCAAGTGCTAGGTGGCGAGGGCCAGACACTGCCTAACCGGCCGCTGTTTTATAGCAGATAAAAACAGAGGTGGTGCTACCGGCGCAAACAACCCAGCGGCGATCTGGAGCTTAATGTCCGGCTTTGAAGTGGACGGACCGACAGAAATAACAACCTCCGTGGACAGCCAGGCAGTGAAGCTTCTGCTGTGAACTCAAATGTGTAGCTGTTTAAACAGCAGAGCTTCAGTTCGAATCCTTCATACTCAAGAAGTGAATAGGAACCAGAAAAGACATTTTACTCGTCATAATACTAGAAAAATAGCCTGAAAAGTTGTACAGAATTTCTGACATGGCGCCTAACTTGCATCGGTGCCGATGAAGGACTGCTACGGAAGAGTAGCTGTGCACAAAACAGGATTGACATCTTTGGGATGCTTTGATTGCATCCCAAATCAAATAATCAGGAAGACGCAATTCTTCATACCTTTTGCAATCATTTAATTGAAACTATGCACTTGTTTTCCACAACGTCACTGTCGTCAGCACAGCAATACTCGCCGCGGTAAAAGGGCGCATTGCTCCGTGGATCCTCGTTCGAGCTCATTTCCAGAGGCTCGGACTCAGCAAAGTGAGCTGGGGCGCTGCGAGCTGGGGCGCTGCGAGCTGGGGCGATGCGAGCTGGGGTGCTGCGAGCTCCAGCGCTGCGAGCTGGGGCGCTGCGAGCTGCGATGCAGCCCGACTCAGAGGTAACGCCACCGGCAGCTCGGATCTGTAGGCCGGAAGCTGGGACTGGAGCTGGGCTGGGAGCTAGGGCTGGAGCTGGAGCTGGTAGTTGAAGACCGGGATCGACTCTGGAGCTGGAGCTCGGAGCTGCAGGCCGGGAGCTGGGACTGGAGCTGGGCTGGGAGTTAGGGCTGGAGCTGGAGCTGGTAGCTGCAGATCGAAGTCGGCTCTGGAGCTGGAGCTGGCAGCTGCAGATCGAAACCGACTCTAGAGCTGGAGCTCGGAGCTGTAGACCAGGAGCTGGGACTGGAGTTGGGGCTGGAGCTGGGGCTGCGAGCTGCCGGACGAGAGCCGGCCCCAGCCAGCCGACGTGCGGCTAAAAGCCCGTCTAACCGCGCCGACAATGACCGGAAGAAGGCGGTCCAGCGGGGGCGGGGGTGGGGGCGGGGCCGGAACAGCGCCGGCACATGCCAACCATACCCCAGCCGCGTCCGGCCGGCCAAAAAACGTCCGCTGCTGCGCCGGAGGTGGCGCCGCCGCGGCGTACCGCTGCGCGACGCTGGGTGGCCCGGCCGGGCGCCTCCGAACGCCGATTTATGATAATGTTTTTATCCGGTGTTGGCCGTCCGTTCAGGCTTCTCCGCTCTTTAATTGCCGTTTTATTCTGGACGCCGGACCGGTATGGAGTCCCGCTGCTGTCGGACATTCCTGTCGGCCGTTCAGCGTCGCCCTGGTCACAAGGTTACGCTGAATGTGACCCTCCCTGTGAGCACAGATGCTTTAAATAACCTCGCACCATGCTGGGCGACAGTCTCTTGGCGTGGAGCAGACTGGTACGCGACGTTCACGGTCATGCTGTGCAGATGACCACGACCGCATGCGCCCCTCCCGCTGACAGCGCCGGCCGCAGCTGCCATGGGCACAGACACAGAGCACCCGCACTTCGTAGCCTCGTGCATTCCCCTTGTAAAACAACCTCTGGCCGGCACGTAGGTCACGCGCGCCGTGCGGGCCGGGAGTGTCGCGCGCCCCAGCAGGCCTCTGCAGGAGCTGCCGGGCCTCGGCCGGCGGCGACGCGGCCGCGGCGCAGTGCCAATAAGCATAAACTTGCCAATCGCTGGCGTGATCTGCGAGCTACATCGCCTCGGCGGGGAGTGCCACTGCAGCGGGCGTCTCCCGAGACCGGCATCACACCGGGCCCGCCCCGACAGCACAACGGCGGGATGGAGGTCTGGCAGCTGACACCAAGTGACACAAGGTCAAGGTCTGCCGGCTGACATCAGGACGTCCGTGGGCGGCGACGTCGACTGAGCGCCTGACGCTGCGGCCGCCCGCGGGGCCGCGTCCGCAATCCATTCAGTAAAGCCCTGTTCAATTGGGAGCGATAGCACGGCTCATTTTCCGCGCTAACCGCCATGATCGCCTGGCCCACGGCTCGATCACGCCTGACGAATTTGTCCGTCGGGCGTGTTTGTTTGCCGTGCGGCGTCCCCCACGGCGCCGTGTGCGTCAAATGAATAGCCGTTTTTCCCAACCGGTAGGTGGTTATTATTGCTGGAGGCAGACGCCGAGCAAAAAGCGGCGACTAGCGGAAATAATTGATATAAAATATTGCGACGCGCTCGCCCAGGGGCGTAAACCTTCGCCTCCGGCTAATTACGAGGGTACATAAACATCCCGCCAGCTCATTATTGACACCTTTCTCCCGCCGCGGCGCGGCCGGCAACGCCTGTCGACGGAAACGAAAGATGGCGGCGCCCGTTAGCAGCCCGCTGGCGGGTCGCGCCCCGACCTAGCCAAGCACGATCTTGTTAGCGGCGGCAGCGGCCGCCGGTCACTGCTAACGATGAACACAGGAACGGCTTCCTGGCGACGGCTGACGGCACAGGCGAGCGGCGCGGGTAACGACGTGGGTTCCGCCCAGCTGGCCTCGCACCTTTCCAATCGGCAATGAGCGCAGGCTCAGATTTTATCGCCGATATTCTCACGGAACTCCGGCTGGTTACGGTGGAGTCAAACCACCGCCACGCAACCAGATCCGGGTTATGCTTTCCGGGATCGTAGCAACCTATTTTCAGTTGTTTTTAACAGGCACACGCAGAAGGGATGACGGGGCGAAAAGAGCAACAAGAGACGCGAAAGAAAGAGTGTGCAAAATATGGTGTGTTAGACTCACAAAAGACTGAAAACATCTCTAAAAATCCAACTTACAGACAAAAACACACAAGTCGGCTATCACAATCAGCAGGCCATGCACCGCCGGTGAGCTGAGCTCGGCTGCGACGGCCGGGGCAGTGCAGGCCGGAGCAGAGCGGGGGCAGTGAGAAGGGGTCGGCAGCGCGGTCGAGGCAGGTCCGGAATGCCGGCCGCCGATCAGATGGACCGACTGGAGCCGGCCGGCCGCGGCCGCCGATGCGCCTGACGCGACGGCCCTGTATCGGCCGCGTCTGTTGTGAACGCTCCCGGTGACGGCCGGCCGATGAACTGAACAGGCTGCCGCTGCTGAAGTGGGTCGATCGCCAGCTGATACCCGGCGGCGGCCGCTCGCTGGACCAGGGGCCGCTCCTGCGGCGTGGCTCGCTGAAAGGGCGAACTGACAGCCGGCGGCGGCCGCTCGCTGGACCAGCGGCCGCTCCTGCAGCGCGGCTCGCTGAGAAGGCGAACTGGCAGCCGGCGGCGGCCGCTCGCTGGACCAGGGGTCGCTCCTGCCGCGTGGCTCGCTGAGAGGGCGAACTGAACGCCGGCGGCGGCCGCTCGCTGGACTAGGGGCCGCTCCTTCGGCGCGGTTCACCGAGAGTGCGAACTGACCTCCGGCTGGGCTGCTCGGCGGGAATGCCCTACAGCTTCAGTACTGGACCGCGTCCACGGAGCGCACCAAAGCCACTGCAGAGCCACTGCATAACCACTGCAGTTGACGCGTCTCCTCCCAGCAGCCTGGATCGGCCAACCACACATTAAGTCCGAAGACGGACCTGTACCCTCCCGTAGCAAATGAGTTCAGCGTCCGAGGCCGGCCAAACATGTCCACCCGACGGCCGTGTTGTCGCGGCGCGCGGCTGGCTCGCGCGCGCGCGCGCCGCGCCCGAGATACGGTCCGGTGCTGACAGGTCGGCTCATCTGCCGGCCGGCATCGCCGCCGATCTGCGATACGCCACCGCCGGCGGCTGACCTCAGGTCCACAACAGGGCCCGATAGCCATCGATATGCCGAGTATTGGAGGCATCCGGGCCATGATATCACCTCAAGCGCGCTTCCAAACAGCCGCTGACGGCGCGGGAGCCGGGCGGCGCTGGAATGTCTCTCCGAGCGGGCTGGTGACGCGGGCCCGGCGGCGCCCAGCAGCTGGGCGCGCGCGCGCGAGCGCCGCGTTGGCGCGGCCGGGGCACGCCGCGGAGGAGACGAACAATGTCACGCACGTGACGCCACACGCCATTGTGTGAGTAGGAGAGGAGCAGACTGGACACGTGAGATGACCACCAGCGGGACCTTTTGGGGGTCATCAGCAAGATAATATTGGCGTGATGCAGTTCACGTAAAGACACATCAGAAACTGATTATTGCAACGTCGCTGCTCATTTGTACCCACGTCCATGCTCACCACGATATAAGGCACTACAAAGACTTCCAGGTGCCCTTGGGCGACGAAGGGGACTCTGAACGACATCACGAACCGCTGGTCATGTCGCTTTTTGGCAGATGGAGCGCCGGGCTTATCGGACACAGGACAGGTGGCAGAACTTGACCCCCCAGCTAAGATTAAGGGGGTCAGCGCGCCACAGCGCCTTCCCCCAAATCGGTCTAAGTTAGCCGATACTATGACGTCGCATGGAAAAAATGGCTCGGAAATCACGGGGTGCCATGCGCTTTGCCTGTGCGTGTTCCACCCTGTTCCGTACCGGGGATCTCTGTTTAGTACCAACAGTGGGTCCTCCGACAAATGTGACTTCCCTCATCGTCGAGGTAGTCAGCTGACTGGTACCTGCACGGGCGCCAGTGGTCGCTGACCGACCGGTCGTTTAGCGCCAGTGGTCGCTGACCGACAGAGTGGCTCTCATTGTATCAGGGTGTGTGACGCAAGTGACGCAAGAGAAGTCCCTGAAAATTCGAGCTCCCCCGCCGGTTCGAAGGGCCGGCGGAGCAGCTCCGCGACCTCAAAGAGGAGGGGGCTACATCCCATATTCTCCTTCTCCTCATCTTCCCCTCCGGATAGTTACTCATGCGGCGGAATTCATATTCTGTATATCGCATGCCGGGAGTTGCACCCCCAGCATTCCAAATCTACGACTTACCTCTGTTTTGCATGAACCGAAACAGATCGTCTAGGAACTCCTTCCGGCTGGGGTTGTCGTCGATTTCATACAGCTGGAAGAGGGCATGTCATCAATTAGCTGTCAGAACATGCAGGCATTAAAACAATAACAAGCATGGGAGGATGCCATTACCTCCGTGGTTCAAAGGTCATGGACGTCCATAAATATCGCGATATCAGTCCAGCTAGCAGCCAACAGAGCACTGGCATGCAGCGTCCATTCATGGAAACCAATCGGATCACTAGTCTGTTTCAGCCGGGATGCAGGGCAGTCACCCACGGCTCAGCCCGCTCTGGACGTCCGAGCACCGTACACCGCGCCACATCACGCGACTTCTCTTCCGCGGAACACCATGAGTCGGCGGGCAGAGCCTGAAGACGGCCGCGTTATTGCCAGGAGACATTCCACGCGTTTATATTGTCTGTCACTGCAACGGAGAGCGCACGGCGCACGTTGACGCGTGGAAAAATAAACGTATTGAAGTTCAGAATGGTGCTTTTTCTGCAGCGGGACCACTGCAGCAGGGCCATATTGGGAGTGGCGACCGGCACCGTGAAACTAATCACGTGACAGTGCAATTGGCCTATTGGCGGAGGCCAAGAATCGGCTTATAAATGATCCCGGGTGAGACCAATATGCCGTGGTAAAACTGCAATAAAACCCACCCGACCATCGGTCTTCGTGACATTGAACATCGCTGGGGAGATGTTCATTATGCCATACCGGCTACCGTCTGGACGGCAAACGCAAGTGTTCCCATAAATTGGTCTACGTGGAATAATCAAGATTCCCCTCTACAGAACTCAGCTGATGGAGCGTCTTCCTGCGAATACTGAACAAACTGATGCTGCAGGGCCAATGGAGTAGCTCCATCCAACTCGCTGGCGGGGGGGGGGGGGGGGGCACAGCGGTTTCTGGTTGTTTCTTCCTATCCAACGCTCATACGGCAACGTTCAACTTTCAGCAAATGTTAGATATGAAGTCATGACATAAGCCGTAATGGTACGCATCAAACTTTCATGAGCTTCACCTTCAGCACTTCTATTTGCTTCGTCTGGCCGGTCTAAAATTTATTGCGTGCGAAAGCCCATTTTTCGTTTTCCAAGCAGACCCTACGCAGGTTCAGTCCTGCAATAATTGGTTCGACAATCTTCTTTAGCTTGCTCTGTTCATTCATTTAGTTTGAACCGCACAGGGAAAGTGATATATTTAATAAGCATACGTTAGCAGCAATGTACGCTGTAGCCTTCGGAAACAGAGCTCAGTCATGAAGCGTTCTCGGAGATCTGCATACCGTAACCAGGCGCACGGCGTGTCCTGGCGCCGAAGCACCCCTATCGCAATTAACGTCTGGTAGCATAGTTATTAAACTTGCAATACGGACAATTTATTCAAGGTAATTTCAATCAGGTTATGATAATTTGATATGGCTGGGCCCGCGCTCGCAGACAACAAACAAAAACTGGAGTGGAGGGTGACAAATAGGCATCCGATTTGCATGGCTTCATTCATCCCATGAACTGCCTTTCTCTTCTGCTCGTCCCATAAGACGAGGAGATCATTATTCAGGTGATCGTGTAGTAATCCGAAGCGTTTGCTTGCCACTAAACGGAACGGCGACATGGAGCCGGGGATAATTTTAATACGCTACCGATCCATAACTCGGACCGAACTATTAGTCATGGGCGGGTAATGAACAGGCGCCCGACCGGCTTCTAACCAGTCCATATTTGAATTACAAATCGGCCAGATTAAAGAGATAGGGTTCTCTGCCCGCGGACAAAAGCAGCCATGAGTCCGAGTCATCGAGAGATCGGGTTCATTTATTATCGAAGCCGCAAGGGTCGTGTGCAAATACTGGCCCAGGAGGCCATCAAAGAGTCCATCTGGTAAACAATTGCCTGGTCTGAGCTCGACTACCAGCCTCACAGTCGTGGTGCCCACACAGAGTCTGGGAGTCCGCCGACAGTCCGGGAGTCCGTGAACCAGTCTGCAGCAGTGGCAAGCCAGAGTCCGGGAGTCAGCCTGCAGCAGTGGCCAGGGCATCTCATGACAGCTTGATAAGGTCCGCACGATAGCCGGTGCCTCGACATACCGCTGTCATGCAACATACGGTGCCTGCTTTTCCCAACTGTTTGGAGGGAGTATTTTCAATTCAAAGCGCCGACAGAAAGTGTACGAAATCGAACAGCGGAAGAACTATCAGAAAAAATTCTGGCATCCAAACAGTGTTCGCTAGAGGTGGTCGTGCCGCTGGTTTTTTTTGTAAAAGGAAACATAGAAGCATCTTTTCCATGCGGGATAAATATCCGATCCCATTGCGCCATTTCGTGCGTGGCGTCCCACCCAAGCAATTACAAACCGTCCCATCACAGACAGGCTGCAACGGTTGGCGGCCGGGTAATCATGATCACGGTCAGAACCACACGTCGAAATGACGCGTGGTTCCGATCGTGATACGTGATACGGATAAGCGAAACAACTCAAAGGAGTCCCTATATCCAATAACAAAAGGATGAAATGAGAAATACCAGCGTGCACAGCCAGGGCTGGGCAAAAGAAAATCGCCCGCTTTAGTGAAACGCCACGACATTCTGCTCACATGTGCTTTTTACATGTATCGGAAACACGCACAAAGCCATAAACTGTGAAGCTGCTACGTCATACCTTTGCTGAGTGCATCTACACTTTTTAATAGCCAACGCCGCTTTACATGGCAAGTGCTTTGTGCTCCCATCACCTGCTCGGTCATGCTGAACATCCTTTTGGATACAAGGAACCCAAGAAAATTTGAAGGCCTTAAACGTAACTTATTCTGTGATTTTTGCACACGGTTGGCGGATGTTTAACAATAGCATATTTTCTTACGCCCAACCATCTCAGATAATTTTAGCAGACATTTGTACCTTGTGGTGTGAATTATATTGGGACGACCAGGCCATCTAAGACCCCAAGTTAAGCACCCTGGGGTATGCATAACACGTCATACCTTTTCTCATGACGTCACCTCTTTTTGCTCCGCGTCCGACCCGCGCTAAAAAATGTGAATGGAGGAATTATGCATTATATGTAGGCACAGTAAACAAGTCCAGAGGACGAGCCAGACGCTTTCAGACAAAGTCAACGCAAAGTTAAGTGAGGCGAAACAAGTTCGCCCGGCCCCAACCCCCGGTTGTACACAAGCATGTCTACCGGCATTAGACACGAAAAACTGCAGCAAACCCCACGAGGGCACCGCGTCGTGCACAACTGGCTAACTTCCGCCTTAAACAAACGTCTCGCCCACAATGAAATACCGCCTCAGCTGTTTGCTCTGAATGTTTAATTCCTGCGGCCAGTCACAATCGAATTGCTGGTCCGCTAATGTATGGGCTCCCAGAGCCACCATCGGTTTGACTCAATTTCCCGAGCGGTAATGGGCGCCGGACCGCTCTAATAATCAGATAACGTGCCCGAGAGCCCGAGCAGAGCTAGCCATACCAAGCGGGTGATTTAATCAGGTTCTTGCCCGCCTCAGGACAGACGCTTGCTGCATCCAGCTGGTTCGAATTTGCTGTTCGAGACGTTCGACTGGGACAAAGCGGACGCAAATGTGATTTAGCCGTTCCATGTCGAAACAATACAAATTCCCATTTAGTCGGAGAAGTAATGCACTTTTACTGCAAGTGAAATGTAGAAGTTAGCACACGCATTCCTTTTTTTAGTAAGCGGTGTTTGGTGCGAAGTTCAGCACCGACGAAGCACGGAGCACCACAGAAGCATACCATGCTAAATCCCAAAATACTCGTACTCCAGCGAATATGTGATCCCCCACTTGGGTGTGGATGCCCTGTTCTGCTACAGACGGCGACGAAACACACACCGATCATAACACAACTGGCAACTTACACGAGTGGTTAGACGAAGAAGCATGAAACGCTGTAAGCTAATCCTAGGTGAGGGTATACCTCACCCTTAAATCACCTGGACGAGCGCATGCCCCGGCGACAGATCCGTCACGGGCCACAAGCTGGGAGCCATCACATTTTCGAAGATATTTTTAACCTGCGGCGTCACCGGCGCAATGTTAACTTCCGCAAAAGTTGCGGAACCAGCTTCCGTTCCCGCAACTGCCGCGCAGCCCCAGTGCCTGAGTTGGTAAAGGGATCTCCGCCGAACACCGTGGCGAACAGCTGAGCGCCCGCCATCGCAGCCCGCCGGGCTTGCCTTCTGTTGAAAGGTGAGCCAGACTGCATGAACCGAGCTAGACGGACTGGCACTACTGAATGACTGACTGGACTGCAGAGTTTACATGCGTACGTTGCCCAATATCGCTGTAATAAGATGGTCGCGCGAGATGATGCAGCGTTGCAGCCCTTGTTAGAGCCACTAGTCCGGCCCAGTGTACACACGGCCTTGGCATAGCTGATCTGAGTTAAGGATGTCGTTGAGCGATTTTTGTGATAAAGCGTGCGTTAGGCTTCAGGCAACTATTCGCCGACCACGTGCAGCAAAAAGCGAATAGCTGGCGATTTGCTGGAAAATTAGCGAGATCGTAAAATGCCTTGAAGCCCATTATTAAGCCGTTATAAAGTCGGCAATCCAAGCTTGGCTTCCTCAACGAGAGGCGAAGTTGATAGGAATCGGAACTATGCCGACAGCATTCTGCAGCATCGCCAGTGGGCACATCGCTGCGGCGCAAATGTCTGGAGTCTAGCATGCTGCTGGTGAAATAAGACGCTCGCAGGGTTGGGCACAAAGCGACTAGTACAGATAAACATCCGCGCTGGCGCTGGCGCACATAACATACGCTGGCGCCCATAGCAATGGCTGAACACATCTGAACACCTCGTGTAAGTTAAATGCCTTGTTTGGGTCTTTGTCTGCATGGAGCTAAGTTTTGCTCGAGATATCAGTTCTGGTCGCTCATGCATCTGTGATCACATTCAGTTTCACTCAAACGGCCCATCCGAATCACACCGGTCTATGGTCAACGAGAGACAGGTAAAACGCAGCATAATAGCAGACAGGTGAAACGCAGTATGATAATATGGTTTGGTGTATGCCAATATGAACTTAAACCCCATCCAAAAATTGGTATTAACTCTTCAGATAGCACCTTGCACACCGCACGCCGACTGCACAGTCTGCAAAAGATGGTCGACCTCGCGCACGGGCTTCCGACGGCCGTGGTCAACGCCGCCTCGCAGAGCAGCTGGGCCACAAAGCAGCGCTATTCATCAGCTTACGTCCCAGAACCAAAACGCGGATAATTAGCCACGTTGGTTGCCTGACGGCCGGCCACCTTGCGGTCGATTGTCGTCTCGCCACCAACGCAAACGTCAGTTCGATGTGCGTTCATTTATCCTGCCCCCACCCCAGACCGAACCCGACCGGCCTACTACCGCTGACCCCATGCGTTTCCGGCATTTCAATCTGGAGGGGCGCATACATCACGCGGGGGGGGGGCACTCCGGCCACATGGCCAAAGGTCGTGGTCTGGATTTGCCGCGCCCAGCGCCCCCTTCCGTTCAGCCGCCGCCCCCTCCGCGGGGGCGGGGGCTTTGAAGACTTTGGGCGCATTCCGGGGGAAGTGACCACAGCTGCTGCTGCCGATCTCTTTGTCCGAGCCGAGGGATAATGTCGGCAGGGCGGCGTGGCCTGGGCGGCGCGCCCCCACCGCTCCGGCCCACCAGACTCCCACCGCCGCCGGTCCCACCGTGGACTCCCACCGCCGCGTGCCGCCCCTCATGGAGGCGCCGCCGCCGCCGTCTTCGCTGACGAGTTGGACGGCGCTGTCGGTGACGAGGCCGGACACATGCAATCCGAGGCTGAGGCCGCCAGCGGCCGGGGCCAGGCCGGGTGTCGCCGCGAGAGGGTGTCGCAGCTGGTGGCCGATCAATCAGCGCCGACTTTGACGGCATTGACGGCCGAGAGCTAGGTTAAAACTGAGCCCGGGTAGGTTTCGCGTCGGAAACCAGTCTCGAACGTTTTCTTGCCACCGACAAATTCAAATCGGGATCAAGTATTGATCGGCAACACGCTTACCAGAGATTATTGCTTATGACGTCACAACTGGCTGCGTCATACAGAGCCGCTGCAACCCAAATGTATGGCTACTGAGACTCACCTGTGACGTCACACATTATAACTTGTTGACGGCCTTCAGCATTGGGGAAGAGGGCCCAGGAGACAAAATGTGTGATTTCGTAAAGGCTGCCCTTCCCAAAACGTCTAAGATGTGATTACACACTACGCGTCTTCAAATGCTGTTTGCCTGCCATTGTTGCGATGCATGCCACGCACGCCGCGTTGGCTTCAGCTGCCATGTTTTCCAAAAACCGCCTCTTGTGCAGTCACGTGTTTTCGTGAGTTAGTCCCCTCGGTAGCACCCTCCCCCGCGATAACTCGCGCCACGTGGCGGCCAAGGCGTCCCCGAGCGATAGGCGTGATGCTCAGCTGGTGCAAAAATGCCCGCCACGCGCCGGCGCTTCGCGTTTTTACACGGGCGCGGGAGGGGCGGCACGGGAGAACAAATGAAACAAAAAGCCCTATCAGAGGGGGAGGATCTGGCACTCTACACCACGTCTACAGGGCTACCGAAGGCACCGAGAGGGGCTCGGTTACCAGGCACGAGCCCGATCGGAACGCCCGCCTTAAGAGAAGAGGGCTCAGAGTGGGCGGAGCCACGACACTTTGCAGGAGATGTTAGCACGGCGACATTGCGAGCGGCACCAGAGGCGTGTTGAGCCCGACAGAAGCGTCGAAGCCGTCCTTGTGCATCGGACAGCCCCAGAGGCGCAATGAGCCAGACAGAAACGTCGAAGCCGTCCTGGAGCATCGGACAGCGCCAGAGGCTCGCGCCGGCGCGATCAAATGGGCGCCGACGCCCCGCATGCAAATATAAATATGGCTGGCATCATTAATCTCAAGGAATAAAGCAGCTGACGACAGGAAAACAAAGAAAAAGCTAATGGGGGCAGAGATAATAGAGCATGATAGGAGGAGGGGTAGTAATGAAGTTTACGGCACATGCCTGGCAGCATCGAAGGGAAAATTTTAGCTTAAAACATCCCATGCATATCAAGTGAGCGTTAAACCGCGGACTAATTCAAATTGCATACGTCGTCTGTGGACGTTGCCTTTATCCTCCGCCGCTCCCGAGCCCGGGGTTTGAGTTCCCATGCCGGTGAGGGCGAGCACATTGTTGCATTTGTTCGAGCATCATGCCATCCCCAGACCAGCAATAATCCGCTGATGGGACAATCAGTCATCGTCGGGTTTCTCATGATCTGCCATTTCAGCAACGGCCAAGAAATCACCGCCCTGCGATCAGCGGCACTTTGTCGGCTCCGACAAACAATGGGCCTCTTTGATCTTGCCATTTACCACGGCCCTAGCGCGGGACTGTGACCACGAAATTGCGAATCTAATGCGCTGTAGCCGGCATGTCGCTATCCCAGAGCACTGCACGTGTGCATCGGCATGTACCGTCGACTGCCAGTGACTGGCGTAGTGGGAAGTCGCTGGCCAGGTGAGTCAGGACGTGCCACCTGGCTCCAACTCGACAGGGTTGTCAGGTCGCCGCGAAAGAGGTCAGACCTTGCTGTCATCACCTTTATCAATCGGCAGGCCCTTGGCTGAACGTTGCGCCTATCGTCGCCAACACCGGGTTTACCGGGGAGATGTCATCACCGACCGACCGGCCTCCATGCGGCTGGCGGGGTCCGATACGGACTGCCAGTGGCGATACTGACCCTCAACGTCTGCCAGTGGCGATACTGACCCTCAACGTCTGCCAGTGGCGATACTGACCCTCAACGTCTGCCAGTGGCGATACTGACCCTCAACGTCTGCCAGTGGCGATACAACCCTTGGTCAACGGGACGGGTTAGGGGAGCAACTCCATCTACGACAATGGGCTTAAGTAGCTAGAAGCTTCCTTGATCCACGGGGCAGCAAATGTCCGGAAAACGGACAGGCGACGATGAGCCAGGCTAGAGTGCTTAAGAGCAGCCGGTTCAAAGACCACTCTTGAGCATCGCCTGAGGCGAGACTGTCCGGGTCACGTTATGAGCAGCCGACCGCATGGCGCCAGATAGCCAAGCTATATTGAGTGGCGCGCCAGTTATAAGACCAATACCCAATCAATATAGAACATGTTTCAGTCGCCTGCTATGGGCATTGGGTGCTTCAAAACACGACTGCTGTTTTCCAGCCACTGACCTGTTTGAACTGCTCCTCGTAGTTCCAGGGGGCGTTGCCGGCACTGCCCTGGCGGGGCGACTGTGCCGCCGAGCTGACCGGCGGGCTGACCGTGTCACGGGCCGGCGGCGAGCTGCTGGCCCGGCCGCCAGACCCGCCGTACCCGGCCAGACCCAGGCCGGGCAGCGGCACCAGCGACGGCGGGTTGTGCGCCATGGAGGCGGCCAGCAGCGACTGCGGCGACAGCGGGTGCCGCTGGAACGCCTCGGCCGCCGCCCGGGCCTGCGCCGACTCCCCGAGGCCCGCTTCGGGAGCCTCGATGTCCTTTGTGTCCTGTCGGTGAGTTCAAAGACTATGAGGTAGATTCCTGGCTCAAATCATCGGACTTAAGAGGAAACAAGAATTACAAATTCGCCAGATTTTTGTCGTTGCACAGATATTTCGCAAGAGTTAAGCCTAGCGTGACCAAAACTCTGCTTAAAATGTCCATCGAACAACTCAGGATGAGAGCATTGTTCTAAAGAAATCAGCAATAGACGCTGGGCCTGCAGTTAATTCACCTGTCAACGCAGCACTCACTTCGATGGAAATGTAAAGATATCAGCGAACCCCGGTGGCGCTATGTCAGGTAAATTCAACTTGGCATCGGCACCCCCACTGGTATTTACCCCAACACCAACACTCGCCATGCGACGGGTCCCCACTGACCTTCCGGCTTCTGCCGTGCGTCACGTTGGCCACCTGCTGCTTCAGCTTCTCCAGCACATCCTGGCTGGACGAGTCCTCATTGCCCTCGTCCTCTGGCTCCGGGTCGGAGCGGGTGCGAGGCGAGTGACCTCTCGACAGCCCCGAGCCCGGGTCAGACGAGGTGCCCTGCCGAACGGGAGGACAGGTCACGGACAGCACACTTATCCACTCCGACATTAGTCCTGCGGTTCGGTCGGTTCTTCGTCGGCTCGCACACAGAAGGGGAGACGAGCACAACGACGTGCGATAGATTCGCATGGCTCAGAAGCCTGAAGGGTGAGTGGTGAGCGGCATCCAAGTCAGAAATACGACACCATGAACAATTGAAAGGTATATCAAGCTTCATTGTGTGCACTGGCAGCAGTGAACGCACCAGTGACTGCCTACCCTATGGAGCGGTGACCATCACATCCAAAACAGAAGTGACCACACGGCCTGAGCAGTAGTGACCACACGGCCTGAGCAGCAGTGACCGCACAGCCTGAGCAATAGTGACCTAACGGCCTGAGCAGCAGTGACCAAGCGGCCTGAGCAGCAGTGACCACACGGCCTGAGCAGTAGTGGCCACACGGCCTGAGCAGCAGCGACCACACGGCCTGAGCGGCAGTGACCACACGGCCTGAGCAGTAGTGGCTACACGGCCTGAACAGTAGTGACCACACGGCCTGAGCAGTAGTGACCACACGGCCTGAGCAGTAGTGACCACACGGCCTGAGCAGTAGTGACCACACAGCCTGAGCAGCAGTGACCACACGGCCTGAGCATCAGCGACTGCACGCGTGTTCGTGATCGTGTTCGCCTGGCAGCACGGCGGCGGCAGAGCCGGCCGAGGTGCCCGACCTGAGCTCAGGTGCCGGACGTGTCGGCTTCTCCGGGCGGCGTCGCGCGGCGCCCTGTTCCCGCCAGGGGGCCGACACACGCGGCGATAAACAACTGCCGCCGAGGCCGGTAATGGCTGTCAAGATGGCCAACTGGCTCCATCAGATGATAATTCGGGGCGGGGCCTACAGAGGTGCATGCTGAGTAATGCTCATCTGAATTAATCTGGCCGTCTTGTGTTTGTTTCTGATGTCGGGGTCATTAATCACGCCGGTGTAATGGCGTGGGCGGCATCGGACGCGCGTTCAAGCTCAGGCTTCTGACGCCCAGCCACGTGACCGTAAAGACAAGGGCGAACAGCTCGGCTGTGACGACACCGAAGTGCTCTGAGGCATTCGACGTCGCTGGCTTTGTCAAAGCCGTCGCTAGCACCGTTTACCCGAGCGGAACAGGAACAGTCTAGTTGTTAGTATATATGTTTTTAACCCCCTCTGGTGAGAATGCAGGCGGCAAGGTCACTGATAGAATCGTCAAAACATTTAAAATTGTCCAATTATGTCTTGGAGTCCCCCTTACCGCTTCAAGATGAGTAACAAAACACTGACAAGGCCAAGACAAACAATCATCACCATGACAACAGCCGTGTTCGTTGCCGAATCATAAACAAGACAGAACAATACCCACCATTGATATGCCCCTATGTATTCAATTATATTCAACAATCCATCTTACGAACCGTTAAGTTAATTCCAAGCCCGGCCGAGTTAGCGCACGCCCCCAAACCATGAGGGCCGTCCAAGAATGTCGACTTCACAGGAGGTCCTGGCAGGCGTGCTTCATTCAATCAAATGCCTGCTCCATGTATATAAATTTCAGAGGCTAATCGGTGTCGTTCTTCTTGTCAGCTGTCAGCGTGGACGACCATAAAGAAATAAAGTGACCCCAGGTATCGGAAGGTAGGTCCGCTGCCCCGACGTGCCACCATGGGAAAATCTGCGGGGAGAGAATGTGAAATGACCCCGATCTCGTTGACATTCCACGTGTGTTTGGACCGTGCTAAATCGATTTATTTGTCGTTATTTAGTGGAGCTGATCTGTTGTGAGATCCACGGTCTGCCGTCTTCCCCTTCAATCCTTTGGGCGGGCAGCCCATTAGCATGCCACTCGGCGATGCCAGATCGTCTCTCGGCGATGCCAGATCGTCGCACGGTGGCGGAGTTCGATTCCCGGAATTCGTCACACCTCGTACATTACAGAAGTTGCGCTTCTCCGTGTATTCGGGCGGTATTCTCACGAGCCGCGGAGCCGCAATCTGCATTCAGATATGCAGGAAATGTGTGAAATACGGGCAGGGGCCGCCGCAGGCCGGCAGGTGGGCGCCGTCTGTCACCGAGTGAGGGTCAGGACCCCGCCAAGGGGGGGGGGGGGGGGGGGGGGGGGAGAGGCGCGCAGGCGTGATTCAAGCCCACCATGCATCCCCGCCGCAGCTGCACTCAAAGCCCAATTACTTATCGGTAAGGAACGGGGAAAAAGAGCAGGGAAAACGGGAGAGAGTAGCGTGATGAGGACTGACACCACTCGCCTCCGGGAGAAGCAGGAAGCGGGGACCCACAGGATGTCGGCGCCGGTTTTGGCTTCCGGTTTCTAACAGAAGGCGATGACTGGGTCCAGTGCAAGACATAGTGATAAGATGACCTGCTAGTGCGTAGCGCCGAGCAGATGCAATTTGTATAGTGTTCACTTGGGTGGCTGGCTCAAATCTCCTGACGATTAACGACCGGGTAAAAACTTCGGACGAGGTAAGGAGACTGGAATGGGCAGCAGGGTGCTGTGCGCAGGAGACGTCCCCTGTCATCACGCAAAACAGACTCGTCAAAACCCACAAAGGGTGTGGCTGAGGCCTGGTTACCTGCACAGACCGGTCAACTGGCGGCAGTCCTTTGGCAAACATGTTCATCGACGTTAGGCCTTCATTTCCCCACGCATCTCATAATGATGATGATGATGATGATTTGGGGCATCTCATAATCATATAGTCATGTCAAACTAAGCCACATAAAATTTTCTATCATCAACCTTTCGGTCTTGGAAGGGCCTTTCGGTTTGTCATGCTCGTTGGCTACGCGACCGGGTGGTAACCTTTTTTTCGAACGGTAGTGGAATGGTTTCACTGACTGAGCGTCTGCGAAGCGAGAGGTACGAGGTTCGATTCCCGGCGGTGCCCGCCCTTCTAAGCAGGATGAGACGTGGGCGGCAGCATGGAGATTCAGCTTTTGACAGCGTCCTAAAGCCCGATGACACCAGCGAATAGCTGGCGTCATTTCTGAAAGTCCCTGGCTCATTACACTAGCATGAGGCAGGTGCGGGGGGGGGGGGTCGGGGCGGGGCGAGAGCCAAGGTGTGGTAGGGGAGCTGGTATGGAACCTATGACCCCCTGAGCCAAGAGATTTACGTTAAATTCAAGTGGTTTCGCAGGAATGTGGTCCGAATTCGCGAGAGCTGGGCAAAATATCACATTTCTCCTCAGAAAATTCTGGCTACGTGCCTCGCTTCAGGGGAAATCATTTGTTGCACCACCTCACCGGGCGTACGTTCCTCACGATGACGTCAGCACATATTCGAGCGCCCAAGTCTGTTTTTCGCGAGGCGCGAGGACCAGAAGCCTGCTGAGATCTCCGACGCCAGCTGCGAGGAGCGCTGATAAATGATTACGACTCTGGGGCCGGTGTATTTTCGGCGGCCGGCGCGCCGCCCCGCCGGTCGGGTTCCAGCCCCACCCCCGGGGCCGCGCCGACGCCACCGCCGCTATTTCCGTCCGCGAGTATTTATATCGGCCGATCGGCGGCTGCCGTGTGATTTGCACGCCATCAAAGCCGTACACGGGCGGCCGGGCGTGGCGTGTCGCGGGGTGGTCCGCCCTCCCCCTCTCCGTCCCTCCCCCTCCCGCCGGGTAGCGGCGCCCGTGCGGCGAGCTGGGACGCCGCCCCAAGCTATTCTCGGCCGTCGAGGGGAGTTTGATGGAAACCAGATTGGCGAGGCGATTTTGACAAACTGGCGCTGGCCGACGATTGTCGGATGGCCGGACTCGCGCCGGACTAGACGTGGGATTCGCGCCGGATTAGACATCGGACTCGCGCCGGACTAGACGTGGGATTCACGCCGGATTAGACATCGGACTCGCGCCAGACTAGACGTGGGACTCGCAAGGGACTAGACATCGGGCTCGCGCCGGATTAGACATCGGACTCGCGCCAGACTAGACGTGGAACTCGCGCGGGACTAGACATCGGACTCGCGTCGGATAAGACATCGGACTTGTGCCAGACTAGACGTGGGACTCGCACAGGACTAGACATCGGACTCGTGCCAGACTGGACGTGGGACTCGCACGGGACTAGACCTGGGAGGGCACCTCCGCGCGCGGGCGCGCGGCCCGAGCGCGGAGCGGAACTGTTTACCAGGCCACGGTATAAGCATTGGACCGTACCGGTTGACAGCATGTTGTCATCACGAGCAGTCATTGGCCCTTTGGTGACACTACAACAAGTGAAGGACGACAGGCCGGTGACACTACAAGAAGTGAGGGACGACAGGCCGGTGACACGAAACGAAGCGATGGTAGGGCGTGAAGGGGTCAATCAGAAAACAGCGAGGAATAAGGAAAAGATAGTCTTGCATGAAATATCATGTAAAAAGAAGTGACTGACGAGAGCCTTGCTAAAGCTGACCTCAGGCTGAAGGTGGCAGAGGGCTTGATAATGGTCAAGCTGCAGAAAAAGCACGTTTGAAACTGGACGACGCTCAAATGTGCACTGAACACGTGAACTACGCCTTCACTTGGCTCGGCCCCCGCTAGGCCCCCGTCACTGGAGGGCGCGGCTCTCCTCAGCCTGGACGCGACAGCCGCTGCCGCTTGAGCGTCACGCCCTGCAGCCAGGAGCCCCGAGACCCCGATCCTTCGGAGACCAGCGGCGTCCGCAATATCGGCGCCTTTGTACTTCTCGACCGCCGCAAACCCCAATCCCGCTGGTGTGGCATTCTTGACGAGATGGAGAATTTATCGCGGGTTGGATTATAAATGTTTGAAAATCGATCAAAAAGGCCCGTCGACGGCTTGCTTTGTGGGCTCAGGGGCTAGGAGGGTGTCACTTGTATTCAGACCGATGCCGCGATCTGAAAGAAATCTGAATATGCTAATGCGGGCCAGGTGCTTTTGAAACGTGTTGCGGTGTTCCCCGTGACAAATTTATTAAATGGGTGAGCGTTGGAAGGTTTTAATTCGTACATTTCTGCCCGAAAAGTCAGTAACCGTTGGATCGCTGGCATGGCGAGACAAGGAATTTGTTTTCAGCAAGAGCATAAACCATTTTTTTCGACATGTGTGGGCAGCGAAGGAATGTTTCACCGGTCTGTGCGTGTAAAATTCACAACCCAAGAGGAGCCGCGCGATTTCCGAGGCTGAGCCATGTCTCGGCGTCATCGCCCACCTCATCGTCAGGATGGCGCTGGCGCTGCTGGTGCTGGTGCTGCTGGTGCTGGTGCTGCTGGTGCATCAGCTGGCGGTAGTGAGCTGCAGCGCCCCAAACGGAGCCGTTCATGCCCCCGCTCTGGAAAGACACAGGTGACGTCATTGGCGTCATCGCGGCACACCGCCCTTCACCTTGGGTCGAGGACCCTGGTTCGAATCTCGTCCGCTGTTCAGTATTTCGCTGACCTGACACCCCGACCGGCGAACGGCGTCCCTGATGACATTAGCACGCGATCATTGCCTCACGCGATCGCGTAAGGCAATCCAAAGTCTAAGATCAGTGCGCTCATGGTCGTCTGGAATCAGTGGCTCGGGGTGGTTCCTGGTCCGTGGTCCCTGACTTTGGTCGTCCCTGGCCCTTGCACCCTCGCCCGGGCTCGCTGCGTCTGCGCCGCCCGCCCGTCCCGACCCTGGGAGCTCTGCGCCGCGTCTCTTGCCAAGCCACGACAGGCAGGGCGGCCGTTTATGAAGAAAAACAATCCCATTAATTTAAAATGATCCAATTAATTTGCATACTGCGGTGAGTGTGACAGAGCTGGCCTGCCGTCGGGGGGCACCGCCGTCAGTGGGGGGGGGGGGGGGGGGGGGGGAGGGGAGACGAGGACAGAGGTCACGCAGCGAGCCGACCCCGCTCGGCTGCGTGAGGCGGCCGCCGCAGGCCCGGCCTGCAGGAACGGTGGGATGCACTCTGTACCCACAGAATCGCGGGCCTAGCCTGAACGGCACCCCGCACCTGTACTCCGCACTCACAGAGTCGGGGGCCCACCTGCACAGTACCCCGCACCTGTACTCCGGACCCACAGAGCCGTGGGTCCACGGGCGGCGGGATGTACTCTGCACCCACAGAGCCGTGGGTCCACGGGCGGCGGGATGCACTTTGCACCCACAGAGCCGTGGGCCCACAGGCGGCGGGATGTACTCCGCACCCACAGAGCCGTGGGCCCACGGGCGGCGGGATGTACTCTGCACCCACAGAGCCGTGGGCCCACAGGCGGCGGAATGTACTCCGCACCCACAGATCCGTGGGCCCACGGGCGGCAGGATGTACTCCGCACCCACAGAGTCGTGGGCCCGCGGGCGGCGGGATGTACTCCGCACCCACAGAGTCGTGGACCCGCAGGCGGCGAGATGTACTCCGCACCCACAGAGCCGTGGGCCCACGGGCGGCGGGATGTACTCTGCACCCACAGAGCCGTGGGTCCACAGGCACCGGCACCGGCAACGATTCACAGCAGAGCCGGCGCAACGCCCGTGACGGGGTTGCGACGCGGTTTGTCAAGTGCTGCCGTTCTACCATAATGTTCCGGTTTATAACGTCGTGAAATAGGAGCCCGAATTAGGGCCGGATATGCACACCGTGCAATCTGCTACAGCCTTGTTCGGCGAGCGCTGAACGCCGTAAATCAGGTCCTGAAGCCGGCCAACGCACAGTTACCGGCGACGAAAATCATAACGTTCGCATCAGCCTTGCAGAGCGGCAGTGAATGGCCACAGAGCGCTGCCAGACGCCTCGCAGCTTACCGTTTGTGGGGCACGCCGGCTGAAGCAGCGCTCATTTCTGTGTGGGGCAGGGAATAATTACTGGACTTCGTGCGGCGCGGTCGGGCTCCGTTGACAATCGAAAAGGAAAGGTCCAGATTTATGTTCTACAGGCCGTAATCACTCGCTATCAATCGAAGGACGCGACTTCCACGGCTCCAATAATGGTCCTGGTCCCGTTGTTACCGTAAGGAAAACGAAAATTGGATACGAGACGAATGGCCAAGCCTGGCATTAGAGATGTGGAGATACGAGCCAGAGGTCGGCGGCTCCGTATGGCTTCACGGCGGAGCAATCGCATTTTTCACCGTCCCGGGTCCAGGCCGACACACACGATAAAGAATACGTTAGTTCCTCTTAAGACGCAGGTGCGATCGATGCGGTGTGGAAGGGCGGCGCAGCAGAGACCAAGGTCCAGAAGTGAGCTCCAGACTGGGTAGCCCAAAGAGAATGCATGACGGAAAGCTTGCGCGATGTTCAACGCTCGCCCAATTCTGATCCACCTTCACCAGTGCCAGCCTGATTGTGACAAAGACGTTTCACTCCGCTGGGCTAACGAGCTGTCCGAGTAACTGGTGAAAGCTATTGTTTACAGCGGGTAATAAATACACACTTCCGCTCTCTGGTGGACCACCGAGGCATCGCCAGTCAAACGGGGCGTTGCATCGCTGAGGATAACACGGAAATGACCAAAATATCATTACACAGAGGACGCTTGCAATGGCCCTGTTATCTCCGTTCGTCAAAGTGCAGGGATGGATGAAGCTCCGCAGCACAAAAGATATACTCACTGTTTGTCAAGCAGAAAGACGAACTGTTCTGGGCGCATTGTTTTGGGGCTGTTTGGGCGTCTTTTCCATGTCAGGAGGAGCATTCACGCATGTTCAGCGCGTCACTCAAAAGGGAGTGAACATAAACAATTGGTGGGTGCTTAACTTGGCGGGAATTCGTGGGGCGATCGAGCACGCGCAGGTCAAAGGGCACGGAACACGGACCTAACGGAACGGCAGAGGGGAAAAAGTCTGATTTCTCTTCACGAGCCACCTTGCACTTTGAACCGGCATGCGGAACATCAAGTCCAGGCAGGAAGGGGCGAGGGCATCCCGGCGTAAGATAGGCCTGTCCAAGTTCAGGCCGACGTACCGCGGCGCCAACGAAAGGAATTCAGCGTTGCCCAAACACATCTCCGAATCGGTCTAGTTCATGAACTGCTACTGGTTAGTGGCTCACTTTAAGGGAGGAGAATGTCTGGAAAGGTGTGAATAATGTGGAAAGAGTGTCTTCTGCCCGTGCATTTCTTTCACCCAGTCTTACTCCGAACAAATCTGAAAGGCGCCATGCACCCTGCTTCCACGAAAGAGAACGCTCACCCGCGGCCTGGCCTTCCACGTCCGTCCGTGGGTTTCGCGCCCACGTCCCCCTCCCCCTCTGGGTAAGGGGCGCCTGGCGACGAGGGCGAGCCTCGAGTGGTCGACCCGGCCCGAGAGCGGCCCGATAATCCACCGTACCAGGTCAGGGAGAGGATATTGCGTCTGACCACCGCAAACACACCCGACGCTCAGAGGCGGGAGGGCGAGCGGGGCGAAAGACGTGCGGCAATCAAATAATCCCAGCTGGCGGATAATGCACCAGTGGCCCCTGACCCCAGCACGGCGGGGTGTTGACGTGCTGGCCGCCTTCTCCTTCGTGACGTGTCATTGGGCCGTGCTCACCTGTATCTTTCACTGCATTGCGCATGGCGAAATATAGACATAACTAGAGTTATGCAGAAAACTAACATATAAATGTGGATAAACAGCGGGGGAATACGCAAAACTAGCACGAAAAAGCGGCCTTCGGCTCGTTTGATTCTGCTAGGTCCTCTGCTGCGCGTTCGAGCTGTGACCCATTCCCCGGATCACACCACCTCGCTTCGTTCCGCGTCTGCTGCCGGCCGAGCAGTAATGGCTCACTCCACCCAGCACTGCTGTCTGACTGGCACCGCGGCCGACGGCGACTGCGCACCACAGCTTCGGTGCCACACTGCCAGCGGCTGATGCGGGAGCAGTCTCTGTTGTGCTGTAGTCGTACCGGGATTCACAGTGTCCAAACGTGCCGAGCACTCTGCCCCACCGAATGCGTTGAAAGCTGCCACCAGCGCCAGCAGGCGGTAAAGCTGACCGGTTCTGCTCTTTGCTGACTTTGGACCATCCGTGCTGGAGCGTTACCGGTGCTGACAACGTCGACTGATTCTTTGTTTGCATATCTTGTCTGCTTAACGTTGCATCAATCCTTTCAAACTGGCAAGGCATTTAGCACGGAGAATGGTCCGTAAAGTGCACGCGGTACACTGTCGCCGAGTCGCTCTGTTGCCGAGGTGGGACACTCCCTGTACCCCCTTTACGAAAGGGTCTAAAGGCTCGTTTGGTTGCCGCACTAAATATAGATGCACGATGTGTTCAATGCATATTTTGTCTCGCCAGTTGGTACACAACACCATGAATATTTACATACATCGATATCATTGGAAGAGGCTTACTTCACTGACAAGCAGACTAAGCGTTGCTATAATGAGCAAGCGCATGTGGTGGTTTTGATACGCTTCATTCAGAGCATGCTCGCGGGCCCGCCGATTGATTTTCCCAAAGCCGGGAAGGGCAGTCATGGCCGCGTCTGACATCGCGTCCCTCGACCGTGAAAATATATAATGACGAACCCCAGGTAAGCAATACACCCGAAATATTTATTATTAACACTCGGCGCCGTCACTTAACAAGAACATTAACACTTTATTATTAACACTTCATATATATATATATACATATATATATATATATATATATATATATACACCTAACAATATATATATATATATATATATATATATATATATATATATATATATATATTGTTACTTACTTACTGGCAAGGCATTTAGCTTACTGGCAAGGCATTTAGCTATATATATATATATATATATATATATAGCACACTAACACTTTATACATATTATTTACACACACTCGGCGCCGAGCTGCAAATGCAGGCCCACGGTTGGCCAGCCGGGCACGGCAACAACACTTGCGTGAAATGCCTGTCGCTCCCAAGTGTTAACGGTGCGAGCAGACTGCGCTTTCCCATCGGCGTCCCCGAAGTTGTTGGTCGCTTCTCAGGGAACCGAGACACCCCCGACCTTTGACTGTCACACTGCTGTGACCGCAGCCTGTTCGTCTACCCAGGCACACGTTTGCACGTGCCTGTCAACCCGAGCCAACACGTGATTTAAGCCTTTCCACCCTGTAATTTGTCCAGGTCTCCCTCGAGAGTGGAGCGTAAGCCATGTTTACCTTGTAGCTGGGCGTTGCGAGACGCTGTAGCTCGTAGCCTAGCGCCGAAATTGACAAGGGTCTGACGAAACTGATGTTGCAAGGTAAGCTGTTCATAGTGTTGAGCGAGTCGCAAGGGTTGTTCCAGCCCCTACTTAACCGCACAAAACAGTTCAGAGCGCGAAGTCTGGATAAAATGAGCACAAAACTTAGCACGTCTCGTGCTTTGGACTTGATCCCCGTGAATACTGGGCAAGGCTGCTCATTGCTGTCCGACGTGACATGCCCGGCCCCAGCGCGGCGTTCTGCGCACCGTTACCACTGGACGCAAAGGCGAACCCCGAGAAAGACGGCACAGGGATGCAGCCAGCTTAGGATCTGCAGAACGGACAACCTGCTCGCAAAATCCTGTGGTAAATACTGCGTTGGTGCGTATTGGCAACTGGTAAGGCCCTACTGCTCACGGTGCGCGTACGGCTTGTGCGTGTGCACAAGCCAAGCAGAGCCGCGAGGCTAAAGGGAGCTTGCCGGGATAGAAGTCAGACGCCTAAAGTTGTTTCTTGACTCGAGGTCCGTTTTCGAGGCCCGTTTTCAGCTAAACACGGGTATAAACTGGTCTTAGTTCGTGGGGATATTTTACTTTGGGAGTGGATTGGATGACCCATCACTGGCGTCAGTCATTTGGTTACGACCATGTAAAGGATAACGGATGCAGCAAACGGCATACGAGCATACAATTAACGTAATTTCGCCCGTCTTGCTTCCCATCCCCCACCCCACCAAGCCCTCCTCCCAGCTTATACCTGTTACCGCCTCTACGGTGACAGTCCGAAGTCGTGGACGAGCCTGTTAAACGGAGTGTGACAAATAAACTGACCTTTGCAGCATATTTGAAAACACGCGCCGGTGATATCTCAGGACCAATTCTGGCTAATAGCGCTGGGGATGCCTCTGCAGCAACAACAGCTTATAAAAGCAAATTGGTCTCAGTAACTATGTAACCTAAATTACGCAAACATTCCAGCCTAGCACTGCATTTCTTTTTTCTTCGTAGCCCCAGATTTAATTTCGGGAATGGGCGATCTTGCCACATGCAAGACCCTAAGGCGAGATATTCGTCGTAGCCTCCGTGACCGCGCGCAGGGGTTTCACGCCGAGCTCGTTCAGAAGTGGCATGCAAATTAGCACGATTAAGACTAAAAACTTCCTGCAAACACCAGCCGCTAGGCGCACGGTACACCTGAAGTGTGCAAGTGTACAAGCACAAGTGTGGAGCCATCATATTACAGTGGCGGCATGTTTATAAGAATGGCGAATGGTTCGCGATTCACTGGAAGGTCATCAAACCGGCTACCTCAGTCCAAACCCCACACAGCTAAGGCCGAGTCCCTTGGGGCGGCGTCTTGCGGGCCAGCTGCGTCTCGGTCGCGGCACAGCGCTGTGCACAGCCTGCCGGACTAATGGAGGGCCGTTCCCGCAGCGCGGATTTCCGCGGAGCCAATCAGCGGCGCGGTGAGTGGCGATGGCCGGACTGCCGGCCGCGTGCACTCCGGCCATAACCGCCGCTGCCGGCCGGCCGCCCACAATGACAACATGCCTCTTTTCCCAATTTTATATCTCTAATTGCATATATGATGGCCGAAATTGGCTTAATGGCGTCTCAAGGGCGTGCGGTGGGCCGCGGGACGGTGCTGATCAGGGGTCTTCGGCCGGGCGGCGCCGCCACCGCCGCCGCGTGGGCGGAGGGGCGGTGGCGGCGGTGGCGGCGGCGCGGCGCCGGACACGGCCCGGTCGGAGACAGCGAGTGGGACACGGATGGGGTAGCGCTGGTCGCGCCCTCCCCCCCCCCCCCCCCCCATCGCCCAACGCCGCCGGGAGAGGCGAGCCAGCATCAGAACGTACGACGGCCTGTGGAGGAACACTCGCGACGGCGCATGCTGCCAGTGCATGTTTGCAGTGCAGGGATTATTTAGCGCACCTGTAAACCCAGGTAGCGGCAGGGGTCACTGGTGCCGTACACAGGCGCGCCGGCTGTCATGATGAAGCCACTGTCATGTCCAGCTCGTGCCACTTCTGGCCGTGATGACAGCCAGCGGGCCGGGTGTGACGCCGGCCACAGCCCATGCATCACCCGTCTTTCCAATGCAGACAATGCCCTCTTCTGAGAGCCGTCTGGACGTTCAATTCACTCTATCGCTAGCTGTCTGTATAAAACACCAGGTAAAGAGCTCGGTCCTTCCCAAAAATCGCATAATAAACGTAGGCAGTTGGAGAGGTTCGTCTGGTAACTTCGATTTTTCCCCACGAGTTCGCTCACTGGCCGATAATTATTGTGAAACGCTTTGTCCGCGGCATTACCCACGGGGGAAAAAAGTACCTCCAAGGGAGCAGAATTTATCGTGGTTATCTGAGCTATGGTAGCACTCGGGGCCAAGCCGCTATGGTAAGGTCAGCCCATCGCAGAACTGTAAAAGAGCTAATATATGTTTTGATTTTCCAGGTTCTGTGCCTAAGAAAATGCGTCTTGAATCAAAATCAAATTTGGCATCACTTCAGAAGAAAACACAATTCGAAGGGTTCGGTAAGCCAAGCCCATGAAATGTCAATGGGAACGCATCTGCTGGACACGTTTTGAATGTCCTACACTAAGCGGAAATCATGGAGCACTCTTCGTGCTGAGATCACCAAGAAACAAACACGAGTTACAGAACAGGTGGATATTTTCTGGACGCCATCATGAATGGACATTCGGCCGACACATAATACTGCTTGAAGATGACCGCGACTGGTCTGAGTGCTTCGGAGAGGGCAATTTGCTGCTCACGAACACGATCCCGGCAGTGTGATTGGCTGTGCCGCGCCACAGATTACCATTAGCGGCGTATGCACCCGATCCTGCCAGCAGTATCGACTAGCACACTCAACACGCGATTAGCCTCACGAGCAATCTTGGCGGCATAACCCGATGCCAAGCGCGACCAGTGCCCTGCCACCCAAGCCGAGCCAATTGGCGCCGGTCTGATGACCGGCCGCCTGCCCGCCGCGTGTCAGGTGGTGACGGCGGTTGGCGGCCGACGCCCTGCGCACCTGGGCACGTGCCGCCCGCCGCAGAACACAGGGTCAACAATGCGGAAGGCCAAGCCCTGAGCATCTCAGCGCGGGTGGACGATGCCGAGTCCTGAGGCCTCCGCGCGGGAGATCCTGACAAATATGGATGTGACACAACTGCTAGAATGGGCCTCTTTCGATGGTGAAATGTTACAATGAGACAGGGAAGCAGACGTGACAGCGTGAGTGAGGCCCGGAGTGGTGGGGACCGGGGGGAGGGGGGCGTGACGTCACGAGGCTTCGGAAGGGACCGGCACTGTTGGCCCCTCACACCCGAACCGTTGTGTCAGGGGGTCCGGACACCGCGGGAGTGGAGACCGCTTCGGCAGGGTGGGGTCAGTCCCAATGCTCTATAGGGTCTCTGAGGGTCTGAGCGTGCTCTCTGCAAGATGCTGGCTACATGGCACTTTAATCAAGAGCGCATGCGGTTCATTAATAGACGTTCCATTTAGATTAACATTCATTTCCATAATCAATCAATTTAATTAAGTCAATCACTTCATAATAATCGAAATAAAGGTACAATTTTAGTAAGGTTTCTGCACCGACTATTCAATTTTTACAATTCGTATGCAGAAATTTCAAACCTGACATCAAAAGCATTTAATACTATCATGTTGAGGGCTGAGCTTTGCCTCGATACCAGTATGTTGTGAAATCGGACTTCGGAAACATTTGACTTCAAGAAAGGACAGCATTTTATCTTACTTTTAAAGCTTATGTCGAATTTAGAAGCAACCTTATCAGTAAGATAGTGCCGTCCAACATTTAATCGTAATAATGGTAACCCTTTATGAATTGCCAAGTTTATGAAATAATCTGTTAAATGTATGTATTTAATTGTTTTGCGTCTTAATGCTTTTGAGCTCGTGTGGACATTGTTTTGGTGGATTGAAACATGTTAAACAATGGATGAACGGATGGTGTTCAGAAATTATGTAATTAAGGCCTATTTCAGTTTCTTGGTGGCTTGCATTTTTAAGTTTAATGATTGTCATTGACGGAATGGCTTGTGATCAAAACGTTGAGCCGTCTTAATGCAACAAAAGATACCGTTACAAGACCATCAGTGGATTTAATGCGGCAAATTCCACATTTAATTGTGGTTTAGAACTGACACTAGTCACACTTAAGCTCAACATTTGTGGGCTTACTTGTATCTTAAATTGCGTCTAAAAACTTATCACGGCACTCTGTGTGCAGCTGTCCAACAGCACACCGATTCCTCACCGAGTTTAACACACCATACGGTAGCAGTGATATCAGGGCGCATATGGGCGCGGCTCAAGACGCCTTAGAGGCAAATGTTAGCAAATCTTGGTAAAACAAAACAATTTCCGTGGCGCTTGATGGCGCCACCGGCTGAGCGCCCACCTAACACCAGGAAATGAGGCGTGACGCTTGCAGGGACCAAATGACCGCTGCATGGCATTCATCAAAATGGAATGACACTAGACGCCTTCCTTCAAACTTTGATAATGAGTCTCGCTCGGTGACAAAGACGTATACACCGAAACGAAATGATAATTGCAAGAATATGTTATGCCATTAATTAAATACGTAGAAAGACATTTCTTTCCAGAGCGGTAAAGTCCGCTATATTCCGTAGCTTACGTGTGGTATGTGTGCGCTGTGGAAGGGAAGCCCAGGGGCCTGAGCGTCTGGATGATTTCCAATAAAGCCTATAACAGCGCATGAAAAAAGGCGAATCAAAACACCCCCTCCACGGACGCTGGACGGGGTCCCTTAGGCACGCCGCATGCTGTGTGCAAAAAGCTCGCGTACCAGATAACCCACAGCCACGAATGAAGCGGGCCATGTCCACCCTGCCCTGCACCTTGCGCGGTGAGCAGGGTCGCGCCGGCGGCACGGGCCGCATCTCCGGTCGCCGCTGCACTCACCGCGGCCGCGTCCAGGCCCGCCTCCTTGCTCTCCATGTGCACAGCGTGGCTGACGAGCGACGAGCCGTGCATCACATGCGCCGGGTCACCCTTGACGCGAATCTTGACGACCTGTCGCGGCCAGTCCCGCGCGCCAGCTCCGAGCGGTCTCTGCTTCCGCGCGCGCCCGCAGCCCTCTCACAGCGGCGGCCAGCCTGGCACTGGCCGCCGGCTGGCACGCCGCCACGGCGCCGCGGATTATCAGCCAATCAAATCCGCTCTGGGAGGGATCTGGTGGCCGGCGGCCAATGGGCGGCCTGCGTCGCTGCCAGCGCGCACGATCATTCTTATATCAGGCTAATATCGGGCGCGATCAGCTGGCGCCGCGCCGGCGCCGGCGTATCAAGACCCTCACAATGGAGGATTGTTGATACTGGGCCGGCGCCGGCGCGCCATTGGCCGCCGCGAGCCAGGCGACGAGCACGATCAATACCGAGGCCGGGGGCGGCGACGGTCGCCTCACTGCGCTGACCTGAGCCGCGACCGACACCCGCAGCCGGAGCACGGGGGGCGCTGGGGGTCCGGGGGGCGCAACGGTGAGGCGACCAGCCGGCCCTACACCAGGCGCCCGACACGGCCTGCCGCCGGCCGACTAGCCTTGACTTTGTTCGCCCGTGTCCCAAGCGTGTTTGTTTACCAGCGGGCTTCGGCGCCAGGCCGTTTTTAAACCGCTTTTTCTGCTGTGGGGTCGGTAATTCAGAGGCGGCGTGGCGGAAGTAAATTTAATAGACGGAGCTCGGATATTCTCGGAACACTTGGTGCGCAGTTGGGCGCATCAGGAGCTTAATGTGCTTACCTGCAAAACAGCAAGATTAGACATTGCAATACGGTCTTCCGCCAAATGCCAAACACGCACGTTTCCAAATCCTCTGTAGTAATTGAATCCACCGAGTGATATGTTTTTACAATAGCAAAATACGCTAATTATCTACCCGAACTATCACTACATTCCTTTCCAGAGAAGCACGTTTATTGCAAAAAGTGCGAGTGAAGTCTCCTTTTCAAGTTGGCATTTTCATGCACTACCATAAGACGAATACGACTTTACCGGAAAGAAGGAGCGTTGACCTTTTATCCGGTTTATTCGCCTAAGGCTATTTCGCTATGCACGCTTCTGGGAATTAATATTCATCAGCGAGAACTACTGCAGTTAGACGAGCATAACTGATTCTTCGGAAGTCTCGAACATGTCGGAATGGTAATGAGTCACACTGTGTTCGGGCAGCCAATCTAGGATCCCTTTCAAAGGAAGGCAGCAGGATATGCGCAGTATGCGGTGGTCTGTAGAATTTGTCGGCGTGATTTAGCAGCATAAAATTATCACGGCGAAGGTACGTGGGCGCGAACGTGAGCGCGGTTCAGAGAGTATAAAGACACGGCTTGCAGCAGTTCTTCTCTGAAACTAAGTTTTCAAGCATTCCGGAGCAAATATCTTCAGCCTTTTTTGGCTCGTGACACATCTTATGAAGATCCTTCCATGGCTTGGTCACATGAATATCCAGACCTGGTTGACGATTGCATGACAAATGTGCGAGAGGCAAAAATTAATATTGTCACTTTTGCAACCACAAATGTTGATAGCTCAAATGATTGCAAAGGTTCATAATGCATGTCATATTGCATGCATTGCATCTCAAATGATTGCAATGTCAAAATGCATGCACAAATGTTCGCCTCACAGATGCTCGTAGCCGCAGATGTTCACAAACATGTATCTGCAAGCGTTATGGCAAAATTTTGTAACCTATGCGTTCGTAGCACGAATGTTTGTAACTATTGATGCGCATACGCGCAAATGTTTGCAGTGCAGATGGTCGTATTGCATACTGACCTAATCACAAATGTTTGTAAATGTAAATTTCGTATCGCAATTTTCCGTACACACATGTGTTTTGCCTCGCAGAAGTTCGTAGAGCGTGCGTGTTGCACATGTCGGCATCCCAAATGTTCGCTCGTCAACACATTCGCGCGGTGTATGCTCGTAACTTCAAGCGAAGCACATAAATACATATCATTGAAAGTAATACAAAAAAATCAGGTGAGCTTAGGACGTATGGTTATTTGGTACTCAGATGCCACATGCGTGCTTGGTTATGCAGGAAGTTACGCGACGCCATTTGGCCTGTAAATCCACACAAGCTGACCCGGCAAAAGGGTTTGGCAACGGCAAAAATACTTCTCAAAGTGCAAGGAGTTACGGATTGTAGCGCGAAGTCTATCTAGAAAAATCACCGTCGAAAATGGTCGCAGCCCGAAATAAACGTCTCCGGACTATTGCGCTATCGATTTGCAGTCGAACTGTTTCGAATTAAGCGATTGAGAATTGATCACCACATGAGAAAACCAGGAAGTCCATCCGGAGGCCACTGCTACATACCACACAACATCTGCATTAGCATCGACGAAAAATAGCGATACGAATATTTGTGCATCTGAACATTGACATTGACCTCCCTTGTCATGTTGCGCCTTCCGGTACACGTAGATTTGTGATACGAATAGTTGCATCCGAGAACATAAACTTCGCGATCGTTCCCCGCTTGCACCACTGTGACATGTACAGTGCAGCGATTAACAAAAGCGGTACAAATATCTGCGTTAAGAACATCTGCTATACGAACAATGGCGTTACGTACGCTAGCGTTTACACACAATGGCGTTATGCACATTAGCGTTCACGAACATTTGCACTTGCAAGCATCGGGGACCTGAATGTGTACGGTACGCACATCCCCCCTTGCGAACATTTGCGGTTGGGAGCATCTACGTAAGTGCAGTTGCCTAAGAACATACGTCTTTAGTGCATGTGGTTTAGGTACAGTTGTTCGTTGTTCACACTGCCACTTGGAAAAGTCCTTGCTGACAAGCCAATAAATAAGGATACATGTAAACATACTGGCGATTAAAACATGCCGACGATTTGCCCGCATACATAATGTAAATATGCCATTCAAAATCAAATGCTATCAGCTTTACACACAATGTCGATACAACCCACATGTACGCTTCAGTCTCGTATTTTGACGGGCAATTTTACACCTAAAGTTAAAACGCGAAAAATGGGCCACTTGATTGGTGGTTTGCAGAACATTTTCATTGTGATGCTTTTCTTCTGTTTTCCACTTTATTTTTCTACTTAATTTTCCACTTATCTTCTGGAACTGCAGCAATTTTGCGTGTGAAAGGTTTGTCTGAACTACAGCCAGTGTCTGAGCCCCAACTACTAGTGTACATTCGGATTGTACTTACTTCGGTAACGTGCTGTTTTCTACTGTTTGCTTACAGCCAATTTGGAAGGCTGTGTTTCAGTCATGTCGTGCCATTTGCTTCGCTGATACCAGTATCACGTGACAAAGACTTAAGTAGAAGTATCGGTTGAAAAAATCATGCTACTTGAGTCAGCCACACTGTTTTATGTTTGAGGCGTCAAATGTCGACAAATCCGGTGCGCAGATGAGTCAATGCTTTTGAATCCGCAGTAACAACACCGTGCACATTCCCACGACCACCATTGTGGTAAAGATGGCGGCCAGAGTGCAGAGGCCCAACTCATCTCCTCGCTCCCTTGCTGTCTGGGCCAGGAGGAAAACAGAATCATCGCTTCTTCGCTAATCTCTTTCCAGCATCTGTGTTTGTCTTCTCGGGCTATCGATGCGATGGGGCAACCGGTCGGCGCGCCGCTAACGCTCACACTGCCATGGTTTCCGGGCGGCGGATGGCCCGTACCGGCCGGCTGAAGATCGATGGAGGGGCACCGATGGTATTTCCAGAGATGCTCCGAGAGCAATGAAGACGGATATAAACGAATCATGGCGTGCGGCGAGGGGAGACGGCGCGCAGATGTTGTGTATGGCACGGGGCCATGGGCGGCGCCAGCTGGCCGCCGTCAGCCAGCCCGTCTGACCGCGACTGCCAGGAGACGCTGGCGTGACGCTGACGACAGGCCCAAGCCAATGCTGGATGTATCTTGGAGCAATGCGGAGTACCCTTATTAGGGGTGGAGTGGGATAGGGGAGTTGGTTTAGAATTGATCACTTGTAGTGTAAGTGTAGTTAGTGTTGTAGTGTTAGAGTAATCCATGTGGTATCGTGTGGTTATTGTCAAACTTGTCCGATGTTGACAGAAAAGCCGCCAGAGGAAGAACCAGCCCGTCGCCCGCCTTCGCGTATCGAATGAGGCATGCATGCGTTCATGTGCGTCCTAGGCTGTGCGCGATTGATTGCATGAGCTTGGCTTGCAAGCTGGCGACGGTGCGAAATCTATCACCATTTTGTCTCACTTCTAACGAACACCAACATTGGGAGCGTGGCAAATGAAATTCGCTGTGTCATTCCAGGGATTTTTCTTACAGCGGTACACAGCGGTAGACTAGGGCGTAGGACCGGTACACACTCACTACCCGAAGAAGGAACTCTGCTAGGCTAGTACGTGTTTAGGGCAGCCCTGCCAGACCAGCACGTGTCCAGGGCAGCCATATTATGCCAGCACGTGTCCAGGTCATATGCCAGCACGTGTCCAGGCCAGTACGTGCTCGATGCAGCGGTGCTTAATCCGCACATGCGTAGACAAACCATGTTGCGTCAACACGTGCCCAGAGCTGCCTTGCTAGGCCAGCACGTGCCGACGCCGCCCCGCTGGGCCAGCACAGCCCAGGGCAGCCCTGCTGGGCCAGCTTGTGCCGGGGCAGTCCTGCTGGGTAGCCCGTTCCCACCCGGGCGCCGCGCCGGAGCGGGCCGGCGCCGGCGGCGGTCCTCCGCTGCAGTCAACATGGCCGCAGCGCGCAGTAATCGCGCCATTGCCGGCTCCTCCAATCGGCGCCGCTCCCAGCTCGTCCAGGGCTCCCAGTCGCCCAGCGTCACGCGAAGCTGCCGTCGCTATAACGCGGTGTAGACTCCCGCCTTGCGGAGCTGTCGAAGAGCTGCCTGCACGGCCGAGTATTGTGCCCGCACGCGCAGGGCCAGCCATGAACGGTCCCACCGGCGGCAGCCAACAGAGCGTAGACACATTTTCAAAAACAATGCTAGACCCGAGATACCCTCGTAAGTAATTCTTTGCATGGATCACCAAAGCTTCATGGGCTTCTAAACAGCGAAAAAATCGCAGGAGAATGGATGGTATTTTTAAGCATCTCTTTCTACGCAACGCCTCAGCGGAATACTTGGTGTGTGCGTCTCTCCCCCCCCCCCCCCCCCCAGCATCCCCGCTCTGGCAAATCCCATACAGGTAATGTTATTCTTTCATGGAAAACGAGCGGACCATGATCTGGGAGGCACTGGGGAATATGGATCACGCTCTTCCAGACACTCGTGCACGAACTCCATGAACTCTGCCCTATGTGCGGCGCCACATCCGACTGCGGCGACGGCTGGTGAGGCCGGCGCGGCATAGCGCGGCATACGGCGCGAGATTGCGGACAGCTTGCCGTCGGTCTGTACCTGGAGATCCCGTAGCTGCGAGCCGTCGGCCTGTACCTGTAGATCCCGCAGCTGCGAGCCGTCGGCCTGTACACACAGATCCAGCAGCTGCGAGCCGTCGGCCTGTACCCACAAATTCCGCAGCCGCGGGCCGCCGGCCTGTACCTGGAGATCCCGCAGCTGCGAGCCGTCGGCCTGTACCCAGAGATCCCGCAGCCACGGGCCGTCGGCCTGTACCCACAGGTCCCCAGCCACGGGCCGTCGGCCTGTACCCGGAGATTCTGCGGCCGCGGCCGACGGCCTGTACCCACAGATCCCGCAGCTGCAAGCCGTCGGCCTGCACCCACAGATTCCGCAGCCGCGGGCCGCCGGCCTGTACCTGGAGATCCCGCAGCTGCGAGCCGTCGGCCTGTACCCAGAGATCCCGCAGCCACGGGCCGTCGGCCTGTACCCACAGATCCCGCAGCCACGGGCCGTCGGCCTGTGCCCGGAGACCTCGCGGCCACGGCTGTCGGCCTGTAACCGGAGATCCCGCGGCCGCAGGCCGTCAGCCTGTACCCAGAGATCCCGCAGCAGTTGGCCATGGGCCTGTACCATGAGATTCCGCGGCCGCGCGTCGTCTGTCTGTACCAGGAAGCACTCCGTGACCTCTGCTGCAGATTCATAACGTTAATGCAGCCTTCTAGCTACGCCTCTGCGCTTGCCCCAGCCGTACGCCGTGCGTGACCTTTGGGCGCCGCCCGGCCGCCAGAAGGGAGGTCCTTCTCGGGGCGGAGCTTGAGCGGCCAGACGACTCAGTGAGTATTGCGCTGCAGCCCACTTTAAGGCCAGGTAGCTCTTTTTTCCGCACCATAGACGGCAGCACCGATTTGCCTGCACGACGGACTCGAGTTTGGTTATGCTCGGCTGGAACAACTCACGCCTGTGCCGTACCGACGACGATCAAAGTCTGCGAAAAGGGAGTATCATAAAAAGGGAGTGCATCTTGACATTTGGCAGTGGAATATCCTTTGTGCATTTAGGGGAAGCTAGTTGGGCATATAGGAGAAATTAGGTGTGCAGTATCCAGTAGCTCACGCAATAGTATTGAAAATACCGTATTACAGAAGGTAAAATGAAGCTAGCACTGAAAGGCGTCTCTTATCGCTGGTACAACCACGCAGGCTGAATTTAGATACCACAACTATTCATAAATTAAATTTCTGTTCTCAGTGCTTTTATACAGCTTCCTTCCGAATACGAGGCCACAAGTATGCTGGCCGCCGGCGATTCAGACCGGCAGCCAATTAGAAACGCCCAACGAATTCGCGCAACGCTTGTGGCCATGTTTCGGCGCTGTTGAAATGAGAGGATTTTGCGTCACAGATGGAAGCCAAGGGCAGGGACGCAGCGAAGAGTGAAGCGAAGAAGAGAAGAAGAGAAGAGTGGCGGGGGGGGGGGGGGGAGGGGGAGATCGGGATAATGCTTCCCTCCCCATTGACCCAAGACATTTACGTAAGATCTGGGCGATTTCGGAGGAATTCGGTTCAAATATGCATGGATGCGTATGCAATTTGTCATCCCCAAAAAAGTTCGGTCTGCGCGCCTGAACAATGGTGCAATGATATTCTGCCGAATAGGAATGCTTCGAAAAGCATATGTTTATCGCAACTAGATCTTATAAGGTGTGACAAATTTCATTGAGAAGCACTACATTTAGAGCCCAAAATAAACTGATACTTTGTGTATGGACGGGGACGCAGACAGGGGACAGGGGTACATGTCTCTCCTACCCCACCTTAGGTCTTAAGAAGCCCGAAGGTATCTAATGGGGAGGGTACGTTAGCGAAATTATTGCCGAAATTACTGATTTTCGCCCCGTTTCAGTCATAGTCTCTGTACGTGAAATAGAAATCCCTGTACCAACTATTGGACCCTTTTCTCCGGCATGCGATCCTTTTGCGTCAGTGGTGGCCCCTGCGTCGATCCGGGGATCCAGGGTCCAGGGACGTAACTTGGTGTCCAGCGCTGCAGTCTCGTTCGAACCGAGCCGCGTTCGCTGTCGCAGCTGATATCAAGTAGAGGGTGGCGTGGAAGAGTGAACGGTCATGTGTTATGAAGCTTCCGAAAGCCTGCCACAGCCAATTCGTACACTTCAAAAGTTAGACTGGGGCATAAATTTACCCTGTACGGTTTCGAAGGCTGATTCCTAAAATGGATTAGGAGTCTGAAAAACATACTCAAGAAAAAACCGCCATTACGTTAGGAACTTGTGATGTTGTAGATGCTTAGTCCACTCCGAGAACCCATTTGAAAAGTATATGGGTGAAATACACGGCCCAGACAATCTTCATCACACACCAATTTATGTCATAATGCATTCAAAATCGATACTTTCTAACACGTGGTTATTTTGTTCGCCCATTAGCAGCCTCCTGGTGATAACGAGGCGACCGCCGAGCGGCCCTTACTAACTGGCGCGTTAGACGTCGACGTTCTTACTCCTGAAGACGGCGAAACCGCATGCTCAAGGCTTTTTGTTAAAGTTCTTTACCAATTAAAGCTCTTCGACTTTGAAGGAAATACAAAAGTTCTTATACAGAAATGGGCTGGTCAAACCGCATCAAATTATTTACCTTGTTTCGATCTGCGTTAGCGCATCATTCACACGGTGACGGAGCCACCACCTCTAAAGAGCTCTCGAATGTTTCAGTAACAATGCTGGCTGTTTTTGGTTAAGAAAGGACTGAATTAACTATTGTAGAATTGAAAGCGTTTGTAAGTTAATTCATGCAACCAACCATGCCTTGTTCTTTCTTTTTGCTGACTTCTAAATACACGCAGGATTGCATCTTCCTGTGGTTCTGGCTTCTGTTTCAGTGAATGAACACCAGCACTGAGCCAAACCTGCCTTGAATCTGTGCTGTGAGCTAATGTAATGAGCTCGGCATCAGCGTCGGTACTCAGTTCCAAAGTTGGGTAAAGTTCGCACATAAAAGCGGGTCGTATTCTGGGTTTATGGGAGCAGCCATTGGCCCGGCGGTTGTCCTAGTAGTGATCCATCCGGCCTTAAAAGTCAGGATGATCTACCTAATTAGAGAGGGTGAAACACACTTTTTGCGGCAGCGGGAACTGAGAAACACGTTTGCTAGCGCTCTTTGCCATGACCACAGAGCAGACTGACGCAAGGCATACTCCATCGTTCTGCTCTAGAAGTCGCACGAAAAGAAATATTTTTACGTGCGGATGTTCTGTCATATGTTCTATCCTGCAAGTACCTTCCCAGTGCCCAGTTTACACTCATATTTATACCCTCAGTCTATATACCGTGCACTTCAGACTGTTTTTGCCCCGGCGACACAGACTCACTCCTTTCAGATCGACCGTCGCTTGAGGGCTATTGACTCGCCCATTTATTCTCGCTGATGCGCAGAAGCGCAAGGCTCAAGGAAAATCCAGCTGTGGCCGGTTCAAACCAGACATCTGTTCAACGCGCTCCACGGCTGCCATTGGCGTCGGCACCTGAATTTTTTAGTCATCAAGGTAATTGCCACTGGTGCGCCCAAGCTTACGCTGTCCCACGAAGTTATAATCCGCAAGGGAAAAAAATCCTGAATACCCTGGGCAGAAAAAAACAGCTACCATCATAGACGGGCGGGCGCTGTGTGGCTGGGAAGACGCTCATAATTAAACCGACCGTTTTCCGGAGCAGTCGGCCCGTCCAGCCGGCCGGGTGTCGCCTGTGGACGAGCGCTGTCACCCCGGCGACCCGGCGCGATCCGCTCTGTCTCTGGTCGCCGGTCGGAGAAGCGGCCCGTCCAGCCGGCCGGGTGTCGCCTGTGGACGAGCGACGTCACTCCGGCGGCCCGGCGCGACCCGCTCTGTCTCCGGCCGCCGGTCGGAGAAGCGGCCCGTCCAGCCGGCCGGGTGTCGCCTGTGGACGAGCGCCGTCACTCCGGCGGCCCGGCGCGACCCGCTCTGTCTCTGGCCACCGACCACGGGGGATTAGCGGTGTCGGACATTGTGTCCACCGCGTGATCGATTACCACACGACACCCGGTCGGCAGCGGCGGAACGTCGTCCCTGGCAAGCCGGGATGCACAACTGACCCCGCACCCGGCACCGAACGGCCAGCGGCGCGCACAGCTGACGCCGAACCCACGAACAGTGGGCACCGGTCGCGGCCCGAAGTTCGGGACCCCGCGCCAACTAATCTGGCCACCAATGTGGCGACCGTCGCTCTGACCCCGTCAGTCCCCACGAGGAGTGCGGGGGACAGCGGAGTATATGGGGATGTGGCGAGACAGCGTAATTTGAGGCGGAACGGTCGATTGATGTATGATGAGCTCGCCGAGCGCTGTAATTATTCAATGTCTGGCTCCAGTGTCGATTAGCATTTGAATGTCGCCGACTGGCGCGTCCAAGACGATAAAAGTGACATTAGAAGTGACCTATTCTTAATTATGGTACCTGGCTCCCTCATCCTATTACAACATGTCTGTCCATGTCTTTCAGGGGGCGCTCTGGGCACGCTGCGGGTTAACTGAATCATGAAGTCAGTACGATTGATTACAGGCGTCTAGAAGTACGTGATGCATTTATGAAGGGTTTTAATCTCTTGCAGCTGCCTCAGTGGGTTGCTTACTGGATGCAGTTTCTCGCGGATATTTCATGCAATAGATGTTGTGTCATGCAGCCAGGGAACTGTGCAAACTCTGCGATCTCTCGAGTCCTCAGCGCTGATGTGACGGAGAGATCAACAAATATCTCGAGCTGGATGCCTTCTCATGTCCAGTTTCCGAGAGGTTGCAAATCCTGTCGTCCGCCATATTACTGTTGCCCATCAGATCCAATGACAATGTGCAAAAGATGCATCATAGCTGGGCAAAGTCAAAGCTACCTGACCAAGCTGGATTGTACCCAGTGCCTGCTGGTTTGTGATAATTCCCATGCAATATTTTGTCCACAGACATCCCGTGCCAGGATGTATTCTTGCTGCATTGGGATACGCGACAGCCCATCGGCTGCTTATCGCAACCGCCCTCGTATTCAAACCGTTGATCTCATCAGTTGCCGAATTCGCCGTCAGACCCACGTTGACGTCCATCGCTGCACCCGTCCCAGGCCAAGCTGGGAACCAGACGAAACAGACGCAGGCAGTACATGAGACTGGCACTCGAAGGCAGGTTTGCGGCGCAGGTGGTGACGTGCGCTCCTCTATGTCCGTCGCCCAGTGGGCGTCAGGCTGACTCGACGTCATCTGGCCCTGTCTACGGCCAGAGTCGGGATGGACCAGAGCTGGCTCGAGGGCGGCCGGCATCGCGAGGTGGCGTCAGCCCCCCCCCCCCCCGCTCCAGCGACGGTCACCGCTGGACGAGGATCTCCTCGACAGGCCCGACCACCAGCTGCGCACCTAGCTAGCGTCCATTTCATCCGGATCAGAGCGGTCATCCGCTTCGCCGACTGACGTTCAGACAAGGCGCTCCTCTCCTCTCTCTCGTCAGCCCATCCTCTCTCTCGTCAGCGCCGTCGCCACGGCGGTAGAGCTGAATCACTGCATGTGGATCCCTGATACCAACAGCGACGCAACCCTGGTGCCTAGACGGGTACGCGTGATCGTCGCCGGGAGGTTTGTCAGT